TGGCCTTCCCCGCAGGGCGGCCGCCGGGGGGCGGCGGCAGCGGCGGGAAAGCGGCGCGTTGCTGCCTCCGCCCTCCTGTGGAGTTGGCGCAGGGGGGAATTCGGTGGAAAAGCGATCCGTGCTGGCTGAGGTGGTCGGAGAAACCGATTCTTTTGTACCCACATTTGAGCATTAGGGCATAAATAACAGACCAGTGAGGCTCAGGTCAAGCATGATGTAACTGGTTAAGCACCTGGATTAATGCCATAAGGGCTGGGTCCAGCTCCCGGGTTCTGTCAGTGCTGCGTTGGGTGGGGCGGATCACAGGCGATGCCGCCCTAACAGCAAGTTTGCTTGCTTGGATACTCTTTTGAGAGGGAGGTTTCAATAAAGATCCTCGCACGCTGGTTTTAACTACGGAAGGGAGGGGAATAAACTTTTTTCTTACTTGTATTTAACAGGTCTGTATATGATGACCAGCCAAATGCACATCAGAGGTTTATGGAAAAGCTCGATGCCTGCATACGTAACCATGACAGGGAGATAGAAAAGATGTGCAATTTTCACCATCAGGGCTTTGTGGATGCTATTACAGAACTTCTTAAAGTTAGGGCTGATGCAGAAAAATTAAAGGTAAGGAACTAGTTTTTCAGAGTTTCATATGTCATTGTCTTTGAATTTAGAAGAAAGAACGTGACTCTTCTACTGAAGAATAAGAATTCAGCGATTGTCACATACACGCTGATGTTTGTAACAACTGTTTACAAGTGGATTATTTAGGATTTGAGGTTAAAGCTGCGTTGCCTGATCCAGCAATTTATGTCTACAAAGTGGAATACTTTTTTTAAATGTATATTTTCAGAAAATATTACCAAAATTATTTTGCCTATTCTAAAGGCTTTCTCAGAAAGTAAAGAACAACAAATGGTAATTTCTTACATAGGTCTTTTTTCTAATCATGTGTTTATATGTTGCACCTTAGAAAAACTTAAATCGCGATTAGAAAAATAAAAATACTGCAAATCTGCATGAAAAATAAATTTTCTTTACTTTACAAGGAGTAGGAGAGTAGGTGGAGTTAGTAGTTTTCGTTAGAAATGAGAATGAAGATTTACTGCCAGATCAGAATGCAGAATAGTAAATTATGAGATCCGTCCCTTTTAGCTCTCTTTACACTTTTGAGAGCAAAATATGCACACCAGACAGAATGAGCATAGTTCACCAGAGGTTATGATTAGAAGAGCATTATATAAAGGATATTCAGATAACAAGAGACCAAATACAGCATCAATGAGGTCATTGAGCATCTTTGTTCAGAAATTAATGAGATTTTTAATAAACTAGAATGTGCTTCCTTATTATGATGACCTAATGAGTCACTTACTATGTGGGAAAATCTGAGGTCGAGCTTTGCCTGCACCTGCAGCATTAAAATGTTGCTGTGGTTTGGAGATTTCCACGTTTGATGTTAATCAACCACCCAGTGTTTGCATTCAGCAAAGTATGAATGTTTAATTACCATAAAATGCAATCACCATTTCTTACAGACAATGAATGGCCCATAGAGCTCATTGAGGTTATCAAAAAGGGACCAGTGGTCAATTGGGTCAATGATTTGAATTGTTTGACAGACCTACAGAAACAAGGAAAGTTCAAAAATCCCAAGTAAATTTGATAAGTTTGCCACAGAATCTGTTAGAAAGAACTGTCATAAGTAATTGAAGTTAACAAAAACCCTTTGCGATCAAAAGTTCAAGTTCAAGCTGTAGAGTTAATTTGAATTTGCATTTCTTTGTTCTAAGTTTCTCATGAAGCATGATCTGATTACAAGGGTGAGCAGTCACATCAGGGCAATATATGCATATTTGTCTAACAAAGGTGAAATTATTTTTAAGGTCCAAGTTACTGATACCAACCGAAGGCTTCAGGATGCTGGGAAAGAGGTGAGAAAATGGTGCTTCCTATTATGGACATTATGAATATTTGAAACAAATTAAATTTATTTGCATAATTTGTGATTTTCTTTTTTTCCCTTTTTTTTTAATCTTTAAGGTGATAGCCCAAACAGAGGAAATCATCCGATGTCGAGTTCAGCAACGGAATATTACAACAGTTGTGGAAAAACTGCAGTTGTGTCTTCCAGGTGAGTGACCTATAGCTAAATACAGTGGCAAATTAAGTAAAGTAAGTCACAATAGCCAAAACTGAAAATAAATGTAGTTTTTAAGTTGTGGTCCTGTAACATCCAGTTTAATAAAAAAAATAATGGGTTTTAAAAAGATGTCAACATGTAGTTTCTGTGTCTTTTACAATACTTGACGTAGAGCAATTATGACACTTTGAAAAGACAGTGAGACAGATATAAATGATGCAAACAATGTAACCACATACAGCTTTAAATGAAGTAATATTTTTAATACGATAAACAAGGATTTTTTTGTATGAGAGGGTGGTTTTTACTGTTTAAATACTAGGGAAAACTAATGAATCTATTTCAACATTGTACTTTTAACTGTGTGTCATTATTGCTTTTTTTTTTCCTGTGAAACATAGGAGCTCTAACTGATGTTTCAGAAAGGTTGTATTATAAGATTGCACACAGCTCTGTAAGGGTTTTATCATGTTCATGGTATTGACATAAAACAGGTTTGAGAACTTTTCTTGTAAAGTTTTGTTGTTGACTGGTTATGAGTACAGTAGGTGGTACTGTTGCCATTTAATGGAGACAGGTCAGAGACTGTTAATGTAGATAAAGTTACAGTAGGTACTAAGTGAATGAATATACTTTGTATATATAATGTCTACTATTTTGTTTAATCTTAGTTATTTTTCATTTACAAGCTCTTAAGAGTTCAGTTCTTTTCTTCTTAACTGTGCTCTAGAATATTTTTTGCTAGTTTTATCGTATTTATGTCACAGTAGGAATTAAATAAGGTAAATTTAGCATATTCTTTTCTATGGTTTATTTTGTCCTTTACAGTATATGTTTTCCTCTCATATTAACTAAAGCCACAATAAGATCCATGGGTTAATCTGCTTGTTTTTATGCAGTGCTAGAAATGTACAGCAAACTTAAAGAACAGATGAATGTGAAAAGGTGAGTGAACTTACTTCCATGAGTAAAATATAATATTTGTAAGTAAATTGATGTAATAGCAATTGCTAATGTAGATAAGTAAGTATTCTAAGTTCTGTAGCTTGGTACATGGTCTTCTTTTTGTAATACCTTGTCTGTGTTTCAAGAATGTCACTGCAAGTGAACAAATGTTTGTATTTAATATAAAGACTTCTAGGACCTTAGTGATTGCCGTGAAAATAATGTTTACTTGAATAAGCATGACATGTACTGAAATTATGATGATAAAATGTTAAGTGTATCATTTTATTAATACCCAAAACAGCTGAGGAAGCAAGAATAAGTTCCTTAGGGAGTGAAGATCTTTCAGAGTGCATTAATACCTAATTAATCTATCATGATGTATTTGAATCAACTTCATAATCCAAGAAAAAAGGACATTTCATTCCATCTACTTCTCTTTAGACCTGCTGTATTTCTATGCTAGTCTTTGGCGTAAATGGGACTATGAGACTGAAGTGCAGAAAATGTGTTGTGTTTGGGTTTTTTTCCCTTCTCTGACATACTGACTTACTAAAAAAATTTGAAACTATAATTTAAAATAAACCTCTAGAATAATGGTTTCTACCTGGTGCGTGACCATTTGCTCATTCCTCTGTTGTGTCTTCCCTTTCTGTCTTCTTAGCGAGCCACTCACTGCTGCTCTAACCCTAGTACCCCCAGTTGTCTCTCTTGACAGCTCGACTGTCATCCCGTCCCACTGGGGCTGCTGCGGCCTTGTGCCTCAGGCACACGCACCCCAGCAATACCACTGCTGCTGTTGCTTCTTCATGGTTTCTACAGCATTATTGCCACTTGCATCCCTGCCTGCTTTTCGTACTGCCTCAGTCATGCTGATTTCTACCTGTCTTCCCTTGCTGCGTTCATGAGCGTTGCCATCGTCTCTTTGTTCACATGGCACCACTGCAGCGAGGTCCCACTAACAAGTCTATCTGGACCCCACTGTTCCCATGTGGAACTAGCCATGCATAGTCAGGAGTCTACAGGGCTACTGTGTAATTTTACTTTTGGACTTTTTGTCTGGTTGTCTGTTGTCTGGGTAGTCAACACCTCCTGCCATACTGCTGAAGCTCTGTGTATGAGTAAATCAGCTCTAAAGCCTATGTGCAGACATGTCCAAAATGCATCAGATCTACCCTATGCATCAGATCAATCAACATTGCAGCAAATCTAATGCATCTTCTGCAGCGGTATGTGTGCTACATGATACCAGTACATAGATGCTATCTGGGAGATCTTCTGCAGAAATTCAAGAGCTTTAAGAATAACCTAATAGCTATGGCACTGTCCTGTCCCTTGTTACAATCAAAGTTTGATAGATGTGGACCACGTGGATCACTTAGGTGAGGTAAAATTGCAGGTGCCTTTTAGCATTTTGGCTCTATGTTCACTAGAGGTTTTATAGAGTCCTCTGATGGTTGATGTGCTTTCTGAGAAGTCATCAGTACTCTTTAAATCTAAAACTAGATTTCTATCATTTAAGAGATGGAAATCTGATAATTTTCCTGTGAAAGGTGTTGCCAAACAGGAAGTCTTAAAAGTCAAAGGATGATATACTGAATTGAAGGGTTTGGACATGTCATTGTCATACCATAAAAAGATCTAAGGGAGAGAGGAGATGCCATAGCTTTGATGTACCATACCTTGAAATCACATGGAGTGCAGAAGGTTAGGACTCTGCTGCAGGCTACTGCTCCAGCTCAGGTATCTCTTTCATTTGCTGGTCCTCAGTTACTACTTTACCTGTGACCTGCAATTCCCTATAATACAGCCTAGAGGTGGCTATCTTGTGGAACTTGCAGGTAATTAATTTCCTTGTGGCTTAGCAGTCAACAAATCCAAGGAGAGAGTGTTTCCTTGTCTTATATTACTAAGTGAGCAATAGGAAGGACATCCATGGCATCAGTGCAAAGACCTGGTAGTTGATGTGTGCAGATACAAGGAATTTCAAAACTGACCCTCTAGAGTTTTACCGTGAAACTTTAATGGAAGAGTCAGGGAGATGTGCATTCACAATCTCTGTCTTAAAACAACGAGGAATGTTTATTTTAGCCAAAGATATTTTTTCTCATAAACCTTAATTGAGGTTTGGTAGTGCAGCAAAGCTTTCATTGGTCTTTTTTAAAAAAGACTTCGTTTGACTTTCTCTTTGCAGACTCTGAGAATATATTTTTATTATTCCATTGTCTTACCGTCTTGTGCTATGAATTAAACTAGCCTTCCTAATGTTTAAAGGAAGAGAAGATGAAAGCATGGACATTCTGTGTTTTGGGGGACAGGTGTTTTAGGCTAAAGTCTGGAATTCTATTTCCTTTCCTCCATTGCAATTTCCTTTAAAGATAATGCTGGATTTTGTGACTGGAATACCTACTGGTTGATACAGATGGAATGGAGGTTTACTGAGGGGTCCAAAAAGCCATCTATTGATAGCAACCTTTGGCCCATAAGAACGTGGGCTACATTTGAACTGATGACCTAGAGGTGAAAGGCTCTGTATCCTATTTATCTGTCTCCTGAGCCATGGATAACACAAGTTGACAAGAACTTTAGTTGTGAGAGGAAGTAACTGCGGAATCTACTCTAAACGGACACAGTTGGTTGGAAAGAGTTATGGAGGGTTTAAAGTCTTAGCTGAGGAAGCACAAGGGAGGCGTGGTTTCTCCATTGCTCTCCAAAACACCTAGTGGGGGCTATGCATTTAGACTGAACTACCTAGATGTTTCATTTTCAGTCAGAGATAAGATCATCACACATTTTCTGCAGCTCTGTTACCGTGGCCTGTGGTTTGACTTTTGATATGTGCCTCTGGAGAAAGTTCCCAGCCGCTTCAAGTGATTGTGGTCTAATTGGGAATTGTTAGAACGGATGTTTTTGCAAGTCTTTCTCCACAATAAGTATTACAAAAAAACCCAAACCCACCACATAGTGAAAATAATTAAATAAATTCAGCTGCTAAGGTTATTGCTGAATCATCTCAAATCTACAGTGAGAAAGACTAGAGAAAGAGTATGGCTTTTCAGAGTGAGCTTTTTGCCACGAAAAACTTGGATTTGTTTTCTGACCTTACTATAAGCTTTCTTCTGAACTGTGGGAAAGACAGAGTTGATTAGTTATTTAGGTTACTAAGTCTCACTGAGACAGTCATGCAGCCTTTCTCTGCATCAATCTTCCCAGCGTTCTAATAAACCTTATATGATGCAAGTGAGAAAACTTCATCATTTATATAATTTAGTTCTACCCATGTCTGTATGGAAGGGTATCAGAACAGATAAAACTGATGCTGATTTGATTTTGGTTTTCTGCATTGTTTTGCAACTGTGCCAAAATAAAGCACTGGCTTTTACCCACTGCGAATTAATACTTCCCAGAGGTACCGTGGATCTGTCAAAAAAACCCCATCAAAACATGTATTTTTTACTGAACTGTCAACCGCTTTCTTTCTTACTGTTCTCACAACCCTATTTGATTAATAACTCCTGGTTTTAAAAAATCTCCTACCACATCAGTTGCACAGCAGCTCTTTAATCTGATTTTCAGAAATACTGAGATTTTTTACTAACTTTACGGAAGTTTTAGAATTAGTAGGTGCCTTGATCTCAGTTCATAGTCCTTTGGGGCAACTGATAAAATGAGTATGCTGGGAAAGTTTCAGAATTAGGTGTAGAATTGTTGAGGCAACTAGCTTTAAAAACTAAATAAATAGTTGTTCCTGTGGTGAAAGGTTTTTCAATTGCAATTTCAATATATCACCTTCACAACCTCTGCCAGTGTGACTTTTCTGCAATGTTATTGAAAAATTCCAATGAACTCCCTTAAATGTGTTTGTTAGAGTACAGAAAGATTTTTATATCTACTCAGTGGAAATGTAATAAGCAGAAATGTACAGTATTTGGCTCTGAGGGAAACAGGAAAGTTGGAGCACACTTTGTAAATTAAGTTTGTTTTCCTTAATTTAAATAAAGTGAGAATTTTAAGGTTATTGTCTCTCCTCTTGTGTTTTCAACAGGAAACTTTGGAACTATATGTTTCTTTACTCAAAAGGCCTGTGTACAAATACATTATTCTCAGTCAAAATCACAGCCTTTGAGTTCATCTTGCTCCTGTACTATGTAGCTTCTTGACTGCTCTCATTTAACTTGATGGGGCTTTTTTAGCAAGTTACGATATTTCCCTTAATTGCCTCCAAATGGCAATTCGCTGATAAAAATCTTACAAGTTTTCTCTGTCATTTAAAACACACTTTACTGTACACAAAATATTAAGTTAACGGTCACTTCCTTTTTCTTTTGGATTTTTTGTATGATGATTTTTTGAGTTCTAATGCAGACCTGACTATTCTGTTCTTGAGGCTTGGACATTTTGTAAAATGCTAGGTCAATTTTAGAATAAGATGATGCAAAACACTAACATTAATCTTATGGGGGGGGTTGTTGGTTTGTTTATTTTTTTTCTAGTCCAGCTTCTTGCTGGTTTTAGAAGTTTCCGTTTTTATAGTGTGAAGATGTTAATAGAACCATCATAAAGTTTCCTAGTTCTAATGACAAGATGGATTGGTTCTGGACAGTCTTATCAAATGATGTCTATTTGTGTTTCAAACTTGCATCTTAATTTCAAAGCTTACATTACAAGTTTTGCATTGGAGAACATTCTTACAAGATTGGTTTGAAAGAGTAGAAGGAGAACTGCTATACTTATATGAAAAAAAATAATGTTGAAGATACTTCTTTAACTCGTTTATAGTCAAATGGGCAATCTTTACCTTACATAGTTGATAACACATGATGGGAACTAATAATGTTATTGTCAAAATCTTCAGCATTAGGTTAAATCTATGGAATTATTTTAAAGCAAAATATACAAATACATCATCCCATGAAATGATATGCAAAACTTTTTAGTTTAAATCCTGACCTGTAGGTGACCTTCAAATTAATAAGACTTCAGTGCTTTATCAGAACAGATGTTAAAAGGGCAAGATCCTGAGCTCCATATATATGTAATTAGTAAGGGACTCTAGAATGGATTTAAAATGGATTATGTTAATTCTGAACTTAGAGACAGCAGTCAAAAAACCTTCCAGATGAACTAACAGTGTTCTGATAAGCTGATCTGTATAATTTAAATAAAAACCTTTTATACGATTTTGATGCTATTATGGTTTTATTCCCCAGAAGTCTCACCATGTGGCACTCTTCGACATTTACTATTTAAAAAACCAAAACCTACACACATAAACCCCCCAGATCCCTTCTTATCTGCAACTTTCCTGTTGCCTTATGTATATTTTATATAAACCAAGTATATAATAAACAAAAGGGCCTGATTTACACTTGAAACCTCTTTATTTGCAGTCTCCTGAAAGCAGTTGTGTTCTGGAATAAAAGAGAGGTTTTTTTCCATCCTCCAGCTATGCTGAATTGTTAGCTTAGAAATGACTTAACTGAGAAAATTCAAAACAATTTGTTTATTTCAGAATGGAACAAGAAGTTATGACTGTAATGTTAATAATTTATTATTGCTTGTCTAAAGAGGGAGAGCCAGCAGCTTGAAATGTGTCTTGGTTTGAAAGTGTTTACTCAATGTATCTACAAAGTACTATCCAGATTCAAAAGAAGTGGGAAGGACACTTTTCTAGGTTTTCTTGAACATTTGAAGAGACTTTGCTCATGTTCAACTTTTTCCTTTCAAAATTATTTGGTAATTTTCCAGTACTCATTGTATAGGACTGTCAGGAAGAAAGAGGAACTAAGGTTGTAATACGAAAGCTAAAAGTGGATAGAGGATATTGCTCTGTATTTGTGGAAAGAAAGAGTTGGAACTAACACCAAGGTTGCAGGTTCGATCCCCGTTCAGTCCCCATGTGTTGGCTGATCTAGTTGAGAGGTGTCCCTGCCCAGGACAGGGAGGCTGGATTAAATGATCTCTAAAGGTCCCTTCCAGCCTAGGCCATTCTATGATTCTATGAACATTAAGTTAACTCCACTGGATCTCAGTTTTTCTACTTTGCCTATTCAAGACCAAGCTAGAAGTCATTGATTGGTTCACCTTATTCTGTTCTAAAAGGCCAAACTTAAATGCATTTTTCCAAAAGCCTGCTTGGCTGAGTGGATAGTAAGAGTACTGTGTAAAAGAAAATTATTGTCACATAATTGCTGTTCTAGTCATGTTTAACCTGTTCCCTGCACCTCACTTTAAAATGTTGACATCACAGATCTGTTGATCACAGTGTTTCTGTTTATTGCCTTCTTAGTTTAAGTTCTATGTCTCAGAATTGGCCCACTTCTATTTTGCTTCATCTTGTCAGTAAAGTAAATTTTTTCACAAACATTCTGCCTTAGGAGCCGGTGTGACATTTGAAAATGAGATTGAGAAGGGTATTGATTTCAGGAACAGGCAAATAGGATCCTGGCTCAGCCCTGAATCATCTCCTTGTGATCTTCATCTCTCTACTGATTGCAAGAGGAAGCGTGAAAAACCTAATTCCCTCAGTTAAATTTTCCTTCTTTAAATGTTTCCCTAAATCAGCTGAAAGCATCAGAATTTTGCTTATATGCTACAGGACTGAAATTGATAAATGGTTTTAGTAGGTATGTCTTGGCTCCAGAAGCCCTGTAACGTGTGAGCTAGCTGAGACTGTTGTCAAAATGTCTTGAGTATTTAATTTTTTAATTTATTTTGCACTTAAATCACTTTTTACACTTAGTTTTAACTCAAGTATTTCTTTAAATTCATTGACCCTTATATAGTACTTCCCAACATAGTTAGGAATGTACTGTACAACATCGGCGTAGTATATGGACATGCAAGGAAGTATTTCTTGATGTTTTATTTTTTCCCTCCTCTCAGGCCATTTCTTCCATATTTCTGCTACAAATAGCCTGTAGGCTAACAGAACATGGAAGAACAGAGAAAATAATGGAGTTTTTGTTGGTGTGGCTTTTTTTTTGTTTGGTTGGTTTTTTTAACCCCTCTGAGCTTAACGCGTGTTCAGAGTAGCTGTTTTCTTGGTGGGAGATACTGCATTTTGTCAGAAGAGTAAATAGTTTTATAGTTTACATTGAAATATAATATAGTGCTGGAAAAAATAAGGCTTGAGGTAAGTCTTTTCCAGCTAAGGATGGTGGAAGAAGGGTGAGTGTGGATGTGTGTAAATGTTCACATATACCTGAAGAAGGCAGATTGATACAGGCACAGTTTTCCAAGATTTTTTTTAATTGTTTGGTGCACATACTGCAATGTTGAGTGATTGGCAATTAGTGTTTCAGAAAGAAAGAACTCAAAAAAATGTCAGTCTATAAGAGGAGATAATCATGAGGACTTTAGTGCCTCCACTCTGCACAGTACTCCATGTGGTGTTAGGACTCTGTTTATCTGAACAGCTAATACCATAGGAGCCTGCTTAAAATTTTGACTTGCCTGAGTCACTCTGACAGTTCATTTTATTTTTTTTTCCCAAACTGGAGCATTATACAGATGACCCTTTGCTTCTTAGTTTTTCTAAGAACAATTTCATTAGGTGTATATTGATTGCATATGCAGTACATTTGTTAAACAAAATACTTTATTAAAAACGCATAAGAAGCTACCTAATTTTATTTTAATCTCTCTTAGATACTATTCTGCTTTAAAAACAATGGAACAGCTAGAAAATCTCTATCTTCCAAGAGTTAGCCAATACCGATTTTGCCAGATAATGATAGAAAATCTTCCAAAACTGCGTGAAGAAATAAAAGAAATATCCATGTCAGATCTCAAGGATTTCTTAGAGAGTATTCGAAAGCATTCGGACAGAATTGGGGAAACTGCCATGAAGCAGGTAAGCTGATCTAACAGGACGATTTTTTCAGTCCTCTTATTCATGGAAAATAACGGTCTGGATAGTCTCAGGTTAGCCCAAAAGATTTGTCTAATGATTACAGTCATCACATAAACCTCTGAGTAAAGATGGAGAGCTGTGAAATGCTTGCTAAGGTCTTGGGCAGTTTCTTCTCCTGGGCACGAAGCTGTAAATTCTTGTGGTCCCTGGCTAACACAGGAAGCAGCAGCGTGAGACCTCAGTAGCATCAGACTTTCTTTCCAAACTTGTACCTGTGTTCTACACAAGAAGTAGGTTCCTGCCTGGGAAAGGAAGGAGGAATGCTATATATCTCAAGTTGCAAAAAGAAAAGTGAAATACTTGAGTAGTCAGCTCCTAGACAGTCTGTAACTCACCAGAACAAAGAACTGCCTATCTGGCCAGCTGGCAAGGATGGGTAAGACTAAAAGAAGCATTGAGGTAACTGGTCAGTTCTTTCTAAAGTACTACTAGTACAGAGGACTGAGGTGAGAGACTGGGACAGCCGGAGTCCTTCCATGTTCCATCACAAAATAATTTGTCACTTCAGAACACTGGTACTAGGCAAGTTTTAAAGCAGTTAATGCTTTTAAAATTTACTTGGAGAGCAAGTAAAGTTTTCACTTGACTTTATGTTGAGCAGAATTCAGACTGGGTTGCCATTTCGTCATTTGTAAAATGCAGCATTGCTTATTATAAATGAAACTTAATTGCAAGATTATTCTGTGCTACTTTGTTGCATTTCCTTACTACTAAAAGACGGTACAATGCATCTTCTGCAGCTGACTACTCACTAAGGCAGTTAACTGAAGACAGCAAACAAATAGCTGGAAACTCTGTGATAACTGTACTTCTTTTAAATATTGATTCTCTGTTTGCAATTATGATCAGGAAAGTTACAGATTTTATTTTTTCTACCTGTCCTGATTAGAGCCAGACAGCCCTAACCCTTGACACTTCCTTTAAAATTGTATTCTGGATATTAGGGAAAAATTGTGCAGAAATTGGCTTTTGAACTCATTTATCATCCACATCAATTACAGACAAAATCATTGGTATAGGCTGAGGACACATGTTGCACTTATACTAATATATGTCCAATAGCACCACCTGTTTTTCATGTCAGCATATACTCCTCAGTGATGAAATTTGCATTACATCTCACTTTATTGGTACTGCTCTTAAAACAGGCACAGCAGCAGAAAACCTTTAGTACCATTCTTCAGAAGCAGAATAATGTAAATTATGGTCGGAATATGCGTTTAGGTAGGAGCAGAATTTTGGAATCCAAGAATGAAATTACATTGAAGCGAACATTTGAAGATGATGATGAACACGAAGAAGAGGTAACTTTTTACTAAATCAGTACATCTTATTTAAAGTGAATTTCGTAGGTTGATTGATCAAAACTTGGAGTATGCTGTCTGTAGATTGTCAGTGTTAGGAAGAACCAGAGAACATCTTCAAGAGACATCAGTCCAGATTAGCATGTTAGGGGAAAAGAATAGTGCCAAAATGTTAGTTGTATTAATGCTAGCTTTAGCATTATGTTTGGGGACATTCAGCTGGATAAAACTTGTAATTATTCTGGAATACAGTTGCAATTTACATTATACTTTACCTGCCCACTGGAATATTCTGCTATTGCTAAAGCCAACATTTCTGTGTTGAGGACTTCAGCTCGTGTTAGAACTCCTTCAGCTCAGTATTCAGGAATTTATTAAACCAGTGAGTATTTAGACCTTTAAATCTGCTGCTCTGAAAACAGCAAAAGGAATCTGGTCTTGTAACACAAAATCTAATACTGTAGCACAAAGAGAGGGGGGAGTTGAGCAATTAATTTACTCTTTTGTGATAGAAGCCATCCATTTTGGGGTCCCTATTAAGTAGATGAGTTCTGCTGGTGGTGTATAACATTTTGCAGATTATATGCTTTTTATGCTTTTCTTTTTCCCTTCCTTCTTCAGGTTTTAACTGCCCAAGATCTTGTAGACTTTTCTCCAGTCTATAGGTGCTTGCATATCTACTCAGTTTTGGTATGTATTAAGGTGACCTTGAAAAGATATTTTACTTTTTGCAGTGGAATGTTTGGTTTTGTATTTTTCGTACTTTAGTAGTCCCCAAGCAAACAAACATATTGCTTCCAGTAGCAGTAGTTCTGGATGAACCGATTGAGATGGGTAGAGAATGGATACTCAGGGCATGACTGCATGTTCTACGTTATATGCATAATAAAGGACACACAGCAAGGCATTAATTACATAAGTGTTCTTAACAATATATGTAAAATATGCATGTCTGCCTCAATAGTGGTATTTGCACTTTTGCAATTCCCCCAGGCGTTCCATGTTACCTAAATATATGGGGCGATATAATCAATATCACAAAACATAGGAATATTCACTCTAAATCTTGTGGAAATCAGAACAGTAGAGCAAAATAACAAGCCCAGACTAGAGGTTGCCACAGACTGTGCTCAAGCAGATTAGATTGGATTCAGTGTCAGAGACACAATAGCCCCTTTTAGATGATGTAAAAGAGCTACGAAGTACAAGCTAATGAGGACGTAAACCTTTTGGAGGAAACTTGGTAACAAAGTATTTATTATTTTTCTCACCTTTCTTATGTCTCAGTCCCTTACAAATTCAAATTACTTATAGAATAATTGTCAGGGACATATAGATGAACTACTTTTGCTAATCCTACAATCTCAGCTGAATTTGGCTTCAAGCATTCAGGCTATGTTACGTTCTTTATATGGAATCCTTGCAGCTGTGTAACATGGAAGCTTATATCTTAAATAACGTTTAAAGTGTTATTTCAGTGTTACTTTTTTTTTTAAAAAAAAAAGGAGAAATCCAGACAAAGACATCTCTAATTCTTCATCTCAATTAAAGAATAGGAGGGACAGGAAGACAGGCTGCCAGAGCTATTAAAAAAGCATGGGCTATTTCTTTCTACAGAGGAAATAAGTGTGAAATAACATGTAAAAAAGAATGTATAATGTTAAATTACACCACTTGACACCATCTGCTTATTCTCTCTTGAGTATAATAAAAGAACAGGAAGTAAAATTGATGGATGTCATTTAAAAGCCATATGTGATTATGTTTTTCATTTGGACAAGGATTCTGATGTTGGATCCTTGACCCAAGGATATGCTCTTTGGGTTTGCACAGAACGTTTGCCAGCTTCCAAATTTACTGAGACAGAAAATGACTTGGGAGTGCTCTCTGTCAAAAAAGGATTGTTGATGTCTTCGGAATGGGGCTTGTCTTTCCTTCTGACATCATCTAATTAATAAGTCATGGCAGCATTATAAAGAGCTGTGCATTAACCAGTTCTTGGAGTCCTTCTCATTTACCTCCCAATGTAAACCATCTCTTTTGGAGTTTAGAGAACTTCATGATTACAGCAAAGGAGGGGAGTTGATCCCAGGTGGCTATTTGTTACATTTCCATATTAAGGACTTTTCTCACAGCAAGTGTCACCTTCTTAGTGAATTTTCTCTCTGCTACAAAGGTGTAGAAAATACTCTGCTTTTATGCAGACCAGAAGTTTTCTGCTCTGCTTCTTCATACTGAAGAAGAAAGCGGGGTTTTATATACCTCAGAAATGTACATAGCTTGTGATTGCAACCTGGTGATTGCAATATACATTCATACCAAACATGGCCTGTATTTATTGATGAGTAACGTTTTTTTAGACTAGAAACTTCTGGGAAATAGGTATACAAAGAGGGTTTTTTTAGCCCATATATTATGCGAGATGGTGTGTCTTTAAATTTTGGTGAAAACACCCTTGATCTCTTTAGCATGTAATGTTGCCTTTTAACCAAATGCTATATAGCAGTATAAAAATAAATGTAACTGTGGTGTGAAATTATGCTTCATATATGAGCAATATTCTGAGAATTTATTTTTTCTATTGATACAAACTCATGAATTTTTGGAAGCTGGGCAAAACAAATGCATTTCTTTCATATATTTTTATCTTGCCTTTGCTTATTCAGTGAGTGAATCATCAGGGTTGTTGCTGTATTCTGCTAATTGTTTTAGAACATCTGTTTAAAATAGTTGTTTTGCCTGAATTGCTGATCTCGGCTGCATAGGATAGCATAGTCTGTAAATAATCATACAATATTTTATATCTTTTTCTTTGGTGTGGATTTGAGAACAGCTGTTCTTTTTCACTTGAAAAGCTTGTGTCAGGACTGAGTAGAGATTTGATATTGGAAGTAGAATTCAATAATGGTTTTGAGCATCTCAAAACTGCATTGAATATTTGGGTTGGGTATAAATGGTTAGTGTGTCTGATTAGTGCATGATAGTATGAATTAGAGCCCACTGTAAAGTTCTACTGCCAAAGAAAGTGTTCTAGCAAATTTGCATCTCAGTTTCAAGTGGATATTTTTGTTTTTAAGCCAAGTCTCTCCTTTATATTTTGTTAGATTAGCAGTATTTCTCTATATGATGAAATACTAATTTTGAACTTAAAATACTAAAATTAAACTTCATTTGTTATATTTTATAAAGGAATTCGGTAAGTAATGCTAGCTTAGCAATATAGAATCTTTGCAATATTTTGACTTGAAAATTTTCAGGAAGCTCAAGTAGTGGAACTCTAAAGAGCGCTGGCCTATTAACAGGCTCATGAAGTAAAAACAAACCTTAAAAATGCTAAGCTGCTTTATTCTGCTTGCATGCAAATTACATTGCGTTCAGTAGGTAGATGAGTCAGTGTAGCACTGATTTCAAATGGACAGATGGCTTCTACTGAATGGTCATCTTAATGAGACGGGTGGGATGTCACTTGAATTCCTCAAAATATAATCATTAGGCACAGACGGTATTGTGTTTTTTGAGGACCGTGATAGAAAAATCCAAATCCACAGTCATTATATTTACCAATTCCAAAGAGAATAAGTAAATATTAAATGAATCTCATGTGGGGTTTTTTTTCCTCAGGCAAAGCTAATGCAGACAATGTTCAGATATATCCTATATTAACAGAAACATTTTTGTAACTTAAGTGTAGAATGCAGTTAGTTTCTTGAATAACCTAGAGAAACATTTTAGGAGACAATGTTTCAATTATAGAGTGATAAGTAATATGCCTTGTCCATAAATATTAGTATACTGTGAAAGCTGTCTTTTAAAAACATACATTTTGCGTAAAATGCTTAATATTGTTTGACAAAATGTAGGCATATGTGGAAAAATTTTATGCATAGTACATTCTGTAGACTACTTTAAAAGAAGATGATTTCTGTGTATTTCATGCATGCAAAACTGCTATTATCAGCTGGAGTTCTATGTGTGGAATAAATGCAAAATATGTAGCTTAGTTAAGAGAATTCTGCCCTTGATTTAAGAAGTGCCTTCTTCATGCTGAAACAATGTACTTGTTTTCAATTACCTTTGTCTTGGTTTAGGGTGATGGAGAAATATTTGAAAATTACTACAGAAAACAAAGAAGGAAACAAGCAAGATTAGTTCTGCAGCCGCAGTCAAGCATGGTAACTAATACTTTTCTTTTTGCATTGACTTGGGTTGTAGCTAGTACTTAGTATTTTTATTTCTAAACTTGTTTTCTTTTTCACTGAAAGCATGAAACAGTAGAAGGCTATAGAAGATACTTCAGTCAAATTGTAGGGTAAGTTTTCTAAATGAAGATTTATTTCAGTTTTACTATATTGATTCCTAGTTCACCCTCTGTTCCCCCATTATCCAAAAATTTTATTCTACAAGATTCAGTTTCTGCACAAATCATGAGTGTGGTTGCTGCTGACCCTGCGTGGGGAAGAGCATCCAGATCCTAGCAGTACGGTGCCCCAAAAGGACCCTCAGCAGTGTGGGCTCCAGCTGGCGTGAAACAGACTTTTCACATTTTGACTTCATGCTGGGCAAAAGCGTAACATAACACCAAACATACCAAAGTGTCACCGCTTGAGTGGGAAAGGATTTAACTGAGTTTGTGCGTGGAAGAGTAGAATTAATAATTTGAGCATTATTTTATTTTAGTTTCTTTGTAGTAGAAGATCACATTTTACATGTAACCCAAGGACTGGTAACTAGAACATATACTGATGAACTCTGGAACATGGCCCTTTCCAAGATTATTGCTGTTCTTAGAACACATTCGGTAAGTGAGAAATTTTATCAGTATTGCAGTTTAAATCCTCTTACTTCAGAGCTCTGTAAAAACTAGGGTAGTAACAAAGTGAAAAATTACACCTCCCTCATGTTTTCTTTGCCTTGTGATTAAAAATTACTCAGATTTGGGAGGGAGCCTGCCAAGCTTTTGTTTTTCCCAACAGTATCAGGCTGTGATCCACAGCCATGGGCTATTTGCATAATCCTCCACTGATTTACAACTCACTGGGTCTTCCAAACCTTCTCTTAGTCCAGCAGTTTAGAATATGCAGAGTTAATCTGCTGTTATTATTGCAATCCTTCCTCATTAGTCTCAACTGACCTCTTCATTAGATCAGATTGAATAGTTCAGCACTGAAAGCACCACCAGGAAATAGTTCCTAATTATCATCCCAAATGCACTGTTTCCAAAATAAACTCCACCAGCAAGACCCTTGAATCTCTCTCTCCAATGCTGTGATAGTAGTATGTTTATATCGAAGTAAAAGTATTAGAAAAATATCAACTGAGTATTTCAGTACATTCAAAGTGTGTCTCCTGAAGTTGTATTTCTACCTCGGCTCCAATGATGCTGAATAGCTGCATGCTATTTCTTATCCCTCTGTGAAAACCAATGCCATACTGTTCACTCTGACTGCCTCAGAAAATTGCCTTGGAGTTGACTGTTGGTGTAACTTCCACTGTTGGAAAAAACAGAATAGTTTTATCTTTACCTTTTTAATGCTTGATAGAAGCAGCTCCTCTATGCAGTGTTATTTTAATTTCTATTACAATTGATCTTTAATTCAAGGAATATTTTACATTTCACATATACTGAGGAAAAGTGGGGGAAAAGTTCAGACTGCAGCTATAGTTTTACCACAGGACCTTCTTTACTGATCAGTGATACATGAGATGTTCTCATAATTTTTAATTAATTTCAAAAGATTGGGATAAATTGATATATATTCAGCATGTTTCAAAGCTGCAAATTAACTGTCTGCATATGGATTTATACACCTATGTAAAACTATGATGATTTAAGGACTGAAAGTAATGTATTCTCTAAAGAATTCTTCAATGTCTTGTCATTATTTTAATACAAATATTTTTTTACTTTATCTAGTATTGCAAACGCTGATGCTGAGGTGAAAACCTTAGTTGTATGACTTCACACCTCTGAAAATCAGATTCCAGTCATTTGGTAGAGTAAATAACTTAGTGTCTTGACTTTTTACCATCAAATTTGCAATTTGAACTTATTTAGAAAGCGTTTTATAATGTTTTCACCATGCAGCTGGGCAATTGTCTGAGGTGGCGCAGTTAGCACTAGTTAGACCCAGGCTAAAGTTTAAAAGAACCTCCTGTGGAAACCTCTGTGATGTTGATTTAGCAAAGCATTTTGATGTGTACTTATGTTCCACTGAAATATATGTAATTTACCAATTTTGAATTTCACTACAACATACTGATATTTATTGAATCTCATATTTTAATTCTTCTTAGCTTTTATTCTAGTTATAGTTAACTAAAAAAATTTACAAATTCTTTTATGTAGCTGGACTAAATGAAGTGAGTCTAAGTTGTTTTTTACTAAGGCAGTCAGATAAAGGGATAAGGCAGAAGAGTTTAGCCTTCTGTGCTAATATTCTTTGAAAACATATGTCCCATATTTTAAATCCTTTTAATAAAACTAGAATTTCTCACTTTCAGTCATATTGCAGTGATCCTGACCTTGTTCTGGAACTGAAGAATCTCATTGTAGTATTTGCTGATACTTTGCAGGTACATACTATATTAGTAATTTAACTGAAATTCCTAGAGTCAAATTTTTCCTTTAGGTGAGTAAGTCAGTGCTTTGGGTTTTCCTGAATCATAGATACAAATCGAGAACAAAATTACACAATAGTATTTAAAAAATATATGCATTTCTTGCCTTTTCCAGTATTATCAACTTGATGTATGCATTCTGGGCTATCCAGCTAACATCCAGTTACTCATATCTGTGCAACATTAATGTTAGCTGTGTAATTTTTGCATGTTTTTGTCTTTTATAAATGCTTCACTTCTGATCTTAAGCAAGAATAGCATTCCAGTTATCAGTAACACTCTAGCTGAAAGACCAAATGAACATCATTGGCAAGTATTCTTGCAATGTTTAATAGACTGATAAAAAAGGATTAATTATATGCATAAATAGCAAGTTAAAATGCTATAGGGAAATGACACACCAAAAGCATCAGATCAAATGTTTGGTAAGAATTTAGTATGTGATTTTATAATTGCAGTGGTGTGTTTAAAGTACTATAATTTGTTTTACAGAAGTGACAAAATTGAATAATAAGTCTCAGCGCAGAGTCCTGAAGTGGTGTTATAGGAATTGAGTGTATTTGTTCTTGAATTATGTGCTTTTCATTTTTATACCTTAGGGCTATGGTTTTCCTGTGAACCGACTATTTGATCTTTTATTTGAGATAAGAGACCAGTACAATGAAACACTTCTTAAAAAGTGGTCTGGATTGTTCAGGTTAGTATTTAAAAATAATCTTGCCTTTTGTGTTACATCTCTTGTTTTCATAGAGTTGTAATTCTGGAACAATTAACTCAGTATTGTGTATGAATTTTGGGTTGGATAGGACTAAGGTATTCATCGCATGTAACTAAGGAGAAGAGCTGTCAGGTACTGTTTCTGTAGTTAGTGGAGAGAAGGAAGGTCTCTAAAGGGACATTACTGAAGAAATATGCAAGAGAGACACCTGGTTTTCTTCCTCAGGAACCTAATAACTCCAGGCTACTGCAATAGGACATTAGGTTCCTAATTTAGTTTGGCATTTACAGTCAGTCGATATGCGTATCTCCCTGACAGAGTACTGATACTGCCAGCCCGTCTTTGTGGTTTTTTAATGCAGGTACGTTTCCACCTATTCCTTGGAATCATTTGATTGAGTAGATTGTAAGCCGTGGAATACAGCAGCCTGGGACTGTACTCCAAAGTCTGTTTGCAGAGTGGGTGTGATGTCTAAATGTGCAGAAATTGTTTTCTGTAAAATACATTACATTTTATTACAGAAAACCTTACAATTAAATTGATCACATAAGGTTCTCAAGCTCTCTAGACTCAGGATTTTCATTTGATTGGTAGGAAAATCCAGAGGCTACTTAAATAACACTGTGAGCCTGTGCCTGGTTGAAGTTCTGTGCATCATTTCGATTGACTATGTGTAGCTGTGTTACCTAAGTGAGACACTGTGGATATCTGCTTTAACATAGACGAAATGTAGGTTACCATAATTAATACCTCATTATGGTTTACTGCAGTAGACTAGTTCTTCTTAAGTCATTTTTTTGTATTATGCTTTGAGTTGTACATAAATATACAAAACCGCTTTCGGCTATTTTTAATCTGTGATTAGACACAGTAAAAAGACTTAGCATATACCAGGTATATGCAAATCCATCTAAAAATAGTTTGGATGTCTGAAATTATGATGATGGCAGCTCATAACTTTTTGAAGCTGCACACCTAAGCATGGCAGTAAAATTTATATTCATCTACATGTTTAACACTGGAAAATACTGTAAATAAATTACATGTCCTGAATTCTTTTTCATTTTAATAACTAATTCACCAGGGATATTTTTGAAGCAGACAACTACAGCCCTATTCCTGTAGCAAATGAAGAGGAATACAAAATAGTTATAAGCAAATTTCCTTTTCAAGATCCAGAACTTGATAAGGTAAGGAAAAGTTTTATGCTATTGAAGTTTACTGAAAACCAATTAAGGACACTTGGGTCAATAATGATTTTTACAATTAAAAAGCAATTAAAATTTGAAAAGCTAGACAGATTAGGAGGCTAAATCACCTTCTTTGTGTGTAATTATCTAGTCATAAGTAAATATGAAAATTAAAGCTTTAGTAATTTGCTGTGCTGTTTGAGTGAATAATGAAACCCGTTGTTTTGTAAACAAATTAATAATACAATTTAATTGATACAGTCTTTATGTAGTTATAATACAGTCCACCTTTAGTTAAACTTTCCTGTAACTCATTGGGTTTAGTAACTCGTAGTATATTATATGTTGTAGTATTGCAAAAATATGTGTAAACCAGGGATGAGTTAGAGACAGAAACTTGTATTCTGCTTTTTAAATTGTGTTTGAGCATGGAGGGTGAAATGAATATGAGGGGACTATAAATAATTCTGCCCTACTCATGTTCCAAGAGGATATGATAGTCTTTCATAGCCTCAGCCATTCTTTTACTACAAACTCCTTTCACAGAAAGGTGTTTAATATGTTCTATTATTCAAATATGGATTTGGTAATACTGATTAAGAAATAACAGGCTCATAATGGAATGTGTAAAGGGGAACCAAATCTAAGAACGACAGTTACTGCCGCATGATAGTGGCAGTAACTATTGTATGGTTTAGACATGATTCATCACCACAGATACCTGCAAAAATAAAAAGAGAGTCTAATTCTATGATTCAGCAGGGATTTACCAGGCAAATGTAACAGCTGCATGTCATTAACACAGTATTGCTGTGAAGATGAAAACTTGAAGGTGGGTTTTATGCTAATTTTTGAATAGGACTCCAGAGTGCTTTCTGGATGCTTTCCTCCATCAAATTAATTTATTTAACTATTGTAATACTAAAATAAGATAAACAGAATGGAAGTCCCTGTGATGTTGGAAGTATGCCCCACCTCAGATACCATTAGCATGACATCTTTTGCTAATAAATTGCAGAGGTTTTTAACATGCACTGGATAATTTTATCTACTAGCCTCTCTCACTCTCTGATGTATTAGCATGTATGCATGGACATCACTGGTGTGGACACGTGTAGTTACATGTATCTGTGATTGATAGGAAGCTTAGGCTCTTTTTTTACCAGAAGGGAAATACATTCTCTGTGTCGATGATTTTCGTTTTAGTTTGTGCGAGAGAGAGAGAGATATTTCTATTTCACAGCGAGCAGCACTTTTTGTAAATATTTTACGGGCAGAATCTCATTGATGCTTAGTTTTTGGGGTGGTAAGTTTGAGAGTGAAGCTGGGAATCAAGTTGGATTCTGTTCCCAACTCCATCATTGACCAGCTTTGTGGTGCTGGCAAGTCACTTCATATCTCTCTGTCCCTGTTGATTCACCTGTAAAACAGAAAACATTTTTATTTTTTTTACATATCTCTGAAAAGAACTTTGAAACCTAAAGAACTGTATGATCTTAGAGGTCTTTTCCAACCTTAATGATTCTATGATTCTCTATGTAAAGCAGGAGGACATCATTAGAAGTAAAGCAGTCTGAGTTTTTTTTCTTGTGTCCTAGCAATTTTTGAAGCAGTTCAGTTAACTTCATCCAAATTTAGTAAAAGGGCAGAAATCTCAAAGATGATTGAGTTCCTGAAAGTTTGACACCTAGGCAGTGGAACAGAGGAGAAAGAATCCTTAGATATCCTTGCTGAAAGAAAGAGTGCAGTGTAACCTCATGTGTTGTTAGACAGCAGGGAATCCACAGGGAGGGGAAACTCCGTAAAGCCTTCAGCCTCACTTCTGTTGGTTGTTTATAATTTCATCCATTTCACCTCTTTGTTGCCTCAGGCTAGAAGACACTGGGAGATTATATTGTGTGGGTTAATTTAATCTATGTTTTGATGTTTTAAACAAAATATTAAGAAAATAGGTGTGTAATTTTGGGCTAGCTGCAGAAAGAGCCTATGTAGTTAATAGAGAGGAACAGGCACCCCAGGAGGCTAATTCTGTTTGATGTGTCTCTGATGCCTTTGACAGATTAAGGGGAATTTCACCTTCGAAAATGTCTGTTTCTCTCCATTTCATATAAAAAGAGATGAAGATGAGTGAGTGTCTCATTTTTATCTGTAGGTTAGGGTGAATCACCCTCATATTTTACAGGTAAGTTTATCATAGGAGTTGCTTGCAGGACATTAGACTGATACTAACCTACTAGATATTTAAAGCAGGAAATCCGATCTGATGGAAAAGCAGTCTTGCTGTTAAGACTGAATATACCAAACTTTTGTAGTTTGGTTCTCTCCTCTACTTTTATTCCCTTTCTGTGTTCAGAAGTGAAACAAATGGTTGTAGCTCTGTTGATTTAATTTTTTTTTTCTTGCTGCCTACTCTTAATAATCAAACAGAAATTGTGGTGTCCTCTTGTATTGACCAGACATTCTAGAGGATAAAGAACTTTCTGTTATATCATTGGATGTATGAAGATTGAAACTCAAGCCCTGCTGACAGAATATTGCAATGATCCAAAATAATTGTATGGAATACTGTTGTATCAGTGAAAAATAATCGCTTGAATCAGATGAATACATATTTTAAGTAAATGTTATTAATTAAAAAAATGTTTGCTATCTTTGTTGAATGACATGAAGGCCTGGCACTTACACTATGTATTTGTCACACCACCCAATCTTAACTAAAGATGTACGATTAGGAGAATGTCAAGGTAATTTGTTTTGTCTTGTTTTTTTAATATACAAATGTTGAGGTGCTGTTAATTAATGCTTTTGTTTGTTTTAAGAAATGGAATTCTCCAGGAACGATACCAGATTTTAATTATATTTGTCATGCATTAGTCATATAGTAGACAAAAGATTGTTTTGCAGACTTCAAAAATTAGGTATTCAGTGCACAAATACCCATTTGATATGTGTAGATTCAGTTGAATTTGTTTACTTTTACCCTTCCAAATACAATGTCAGCTTTAAAGTTGAAGTAAGAACTGTGATTTTATTCCTTTAGACTCCTAGTATTTCTCACATGTTAATCCAATTTTTTTAAAAAAAAATACAAACTGCTTTGTTTTTGTGAGAAAGAAAGTAAATATATGATAGTAAATACACATGCCTAAATATTCTCAAGATACTTTCAAAATCCCAGATGTACTGAACTTTTCAAATTTATTTATTTTGTTGTCACTGCTTTCTTTAGCAAGAAAAATGTTTGCATTTTTGAAGCTCTCGTCCCACTTATATATATCTTGTTTATTCAGATTTGAAGCCGTTTGAGACTGGATTTTTACTGCATGTTTGTAAATTGCTTTCTACAGAGGGATCTTAAATTACCTAAAGTCTCCAATCTTTATTGTAATTTAAATAACTGGTAAAGTTCTGTTTTGCTTATGAGCAATTTGAAGAGATGTAGAAGTCAGATCAACACATACCACTGTTTGGTTTTGATGAAAACCAGAAGAGCTTAAAATAGATTAAAATATTGATAGTGTAAAGTGACTAATTGGCACATTTAATGCCAAGCTCTCCTTAGAGCTTCAAGTGTAAGAAAGTATTATCTTTTATTTTCCCAGCAATCCTTTCCAAAGAAGCTTCCAATGTCTCAGTCAGTGCCTCAGATTTATATCCAGGTTAAGGAATTTATTTATGCAAGCCTTAAGTTTTCAGAGTCACTTCACCGCAGGTAAGCTTAAAGTATCAGGAATGTGACTGTAAAGTAACGTGTAACTTCCAAGTGACCTAAATATATATATATATATATAAATAAAATATATTTTCTTGTTTACTTGCTAGCTGTGCTTATTTCATAATTTAAATGTAATGAATATATATATTTCTTTATATTTAGTCTATGTTTCCTGATGCTGTAGCATATCCTTAATATATGTATGTGTGTATGGTGTGCAGTATATGTCTGTCTGTATGGGTGAATGTAGCTTGGCATGGTAGCAGTCTAACATTGATGGTTTTGTTGTGGTGTTTTGTTTTTTTTTAAACAGTATTGACTGGTTTGAATAATCTGGAGATTTTATTCACTTAATAAAGCATGCAAGATTTGAAAAATGTACTTTGATACAGACCATTTTAAAAATACTTGTGTAGCATCTCTGATTACTTAGAACGGTCTTTCCCTTCTCAATGCTTTGAGATTCCTTAGCAGCAATTTCTCCCGCAACAGAGTGTGCTGTCTGCATGTTCTTTCTCTCTTCCATCCCACCTTTTTCTGATTGAAAACATCCCAGTTCTCCCATTTCCTTTCCTTTTGTGGTCTTCAAAAGCTTAGTATTAATTACATAGAGTAACATTGACAGATCTGAAATCTGGAAGGTATTCATGGCTGGTCACCCACTTCTGCACTGTTAAAGGTGTAAATGACTCGGTTTCACACATTCTTAATTGATACTGTTTATAATTTACACGTACTAATGAGTGCATGTGACCTCCTTAGCAACTCATTAAAACCCCAGAAATTACTCTTTCGAACTGCTGTGTCAATAAACATGTTCAAAATCTAAGAATAACAGATTTTGCTTCAGTGTTGAAATCCAGTTAATGAATTCTTTGGTAAGTGAAAAAGGTGTTCTGTGTATTAGGTCACAGAAGACTTGGAGCAACCAGAAATTAAATGCATGCAAGGAATTCTTAACATAAAAAGTTCCCTTTGCAGGGAAAAAATAAAAATATTCAATATTACCGTCGAAGTATTATCATGTACAACATAGTTATGAAAATAAAACTTATTTTTCAGCTCAACAGAAATAGATGATATGCTCAGAAAATCTACGAATTTGCTGCTTACAAGAACTCTAAGTAGTTGTTTACAGAACCTGATTAAAAAGCCCCATATAGGTTTAACAGAGGTAAGTTTTAAAACACATACTGAAAACTGTGGGGTTTGAGACAATTAGGGCTAAAACTATTCTTATAAGTGTAGGTTTACTGTAGTATTAAGATTTCTCTAAGAAAAACAAGTAGGTTTTGCTTTAAAATTGAAAATTTAAAGAGCTGTAAAATGTATGATGCATCAATATTTGTTACATAAATAGCAGTAATTTTAAAAATTATTTTTATTATACAAATTAGCGATTTTTTTGCAAGATGGTTTCCTTTACTTTCCCTTTTGAATTCTAAAATATCAACTGAATTTATTTCACTGAGTATATGTCTGCAGTCTTCATTTTTAAAATAGCATAATTTGTAAGTAAAAGGTAGTGTTACTCCTTAGTTGTAATTGAAAGCGTACTTGAAAACTAACAGGTAATAGGTGGTAATCTGGAATACTGTAATTAATTTCTAGTAGCATTGTTGCTGAAATAAGTAATCATATACAAATTTGAATGACAGTGAATGATACAAAATGTATTTTTACGAGATTGTCTCTTGTAGCTTGTCCAAATCATCATAAACACAACACACCTGGAACAAGCCTGTAAATACCTTGAGGATTTTATATCTAACATTACAAATATTTCACAAGTGACAGTTCACACTTCAAGACTTTATGGACTTTCTACATTTAAGGTATGGTGTATGACAGCTGTTATACAACTACATCTGAAAAGTTACATTAAAATCACTGTAAATGAAGCTTTTTTAAAACAAAAGGTGGTGAGGGCAAAGCTGCATGCTTTCTTTTATTTGACTCTAAAACAATTCTGAACTGTTAAGAATTCAGTTGTAACACTGAGCAGATAAACGCTGTTTTTTATGTTATCGGGATGATCTGAAATATGTCAGTACTTGAAAAGCATTGATATTTTCTTTCTGCTGCCTCTTTTATGAAGTTGTGAAATTACAAGATAAGCTTAACTGCACAGAACCTTTCAATAGCTTAAGCTCCAGTTTGTGTAACATCTTTCCTTTCCGAATGGAATCAAGCCAAACAGCTCGTTTAATCTAAAATGCATGTTTTTATTGTCGGTTTTTTATTATTATTGTTTTTATCCTACAACAGAAATATTTTGCGATATATTTCCAAGTTCTGTAATTCAGTAATATAAAAGCTGTATTAAGAATGCATTACAAAGCATAAATTATTCAATTATATTTTTGGAATTTATATTTTATTTACATGTCCTTTATAAACACAATAATATTTGTTAAAATGATTACTGGGAACTTGACTAGTCCTAATGTGTGGCAACTGCTTATCTGCACAAGCTGTATTTTCTCTGACACTTTTCGGCAAATGGAAGAAGCACTTAGGCTTATATCTTAAAATATTAAAGAAAATCATAGGTGATGCATACTCAGCATAGACAAATGTAATTTCAACAGATAGCATGGCAACACTTGTCTGTGGAGTATAATACAGTCCTGAAATAAAAAAGGTTGTAGTTATCCTTCCCTATATAGCGCCTCATTTTATTAGTAGTTGAAGTTCCCCTAGTCGTTCTTGCATTTGTCTGTACAAAAATTCTGAAGGATTTCAAAAAGAGGAAACTAATGCAAAAATAGCAAGTGACTTGTATAGTCACATATGATGAAATGGGCAGAGCGAAAACCAGAGCCTCATCTGCGAAGTTACTCTCCACAGTATTGCTCCTTTTTCAGTTTTAAGGCAGACAAGTCTTGTTAATAAGAAACCTGCATGTAAAAATAAAATTGCTGAAGATAACTTATATACATAATATCAGGTAAATGAAGATGACTGAGATTTATCCCTAACATAAATCAGTCAGAATTCTGATCCTTGTTCAGGCTGTTTTATGTCATAATGATGCTAATAAGCTCTAAACCAAAACCCCAACAGCTGGACTATGCTGAGTGCAGAGATTATGTGGTCTCAGACCACTGAATGTTCCTGCACCAGGAACCTGTACTGTGGCACTGGGGACAGGTGTAGTGAAGCCTAGAGATCCTTCGTGCTCTGGTGATGGCTGAGCACCAGGTACTTCTCTCAAGCACCAGATGGTTGTGTACATCGAAGAGACAAGTTTCGGTACTTGTATGCATTTAATATTGCAGAAATTACTTCATTGACTGAGTCTGTCTGAGTAGCTTTTTTTTTTTGGTTTAGAATAGAAGCAAATGCACATGCTTGAGGGGTGGTTTGGGGTTTTCTTTCTGAAGAAAACATTCTCACGGAAGAATACTCTTGTGTAAGTTACTTTGTGCTGTCAATTCAGCCAGTGCATTGCTGCTTTAGTCACTTGAGTCTTCTATACTCATGTTTTTGAAAGAGAAACAAAACAAAACAAAAAGTCATCAGGGATTCCAAAGCAGCTGCAATTTGATCTTCAGGTATTTGGGGATTTTTCAGTGTACGCTGAAAGAAAGCAGGATGATTTCTTGTATTTATGGGATAAAGAGGACTAATCCTGTTGAGAGTAGTTCTGTTTTCTGTACTTCATTTTTTCTCTTGATGCAATACATAACCTATCCTATTATAATATCCCCTCTGGCATAGATGTTAAAAAGTGGGTAAGATGAAATAAGATGTCGTCGTTGCAAGACACTGCATATTTCCAGTTGATTGCCAACAATTTTCTCATTAACTGTCATTTGTTTTGCTAAGGATTTAATGAACAAGGCAGGACAGAAAGGTTCTGGCCTAGTGACTGTAGTTAGGTTACCTTTGCCCCACCAGCAGTTTTACTGATTTTGCCCTGTCCTTAAGATCTAGGCTGCCTAGTTTGCTTATTGTGTACCGATAGTGTATCTGTGTCTTTCGATTTGCATCTCTATAGATATTTTTGTGTAGGGTCAATCCAAAATCTTTTTAACATTCAAACACAATGCTTAATGCAGCCATAGTCTCTGATTTCTTTAAGAGGTAAGGTGTTCTTCATCTTTGAATTTCGTTTAATAAATGCAGTTGAAAGTTTGCATTATATTTTGTGCTGATTTCTTATGCTGTAAGTTATGTTTAACTATCCTATAAACTAAGTTCTATTGGAGGGAATCACAGATTATATCTGTGTTTAGTGAGCTTAGTATTTATACACTTTGGAAAAATACAGAATGAATGCTGACAAATATGTAAGGGGGTTTTGGTTTGTTTTGTTCTTTTTCTTTTTTTTTAATGGCTCCCCTCCCGTCTTCTTGTTAGCCCAACGTTCTCCACTTATAGTAGAAAATTCTTTCCTTGTTAATCCCTCTTTTTTTTTTTTTTCCCCTCCCTCTTCTCTATTTCAATGAAACACTGCTTGCAGTTCCCCAACTGGTCCCTCACAGAGTTTGGTATGTTCTGCTGTTATTAAATTAATCTCCTGGTGGCAAATCATGTCACCCCCATTCTTTCAGAATGGTCAAAAATCTCCTTTATTAACAGCATTGATCACATTTACATTCCAGGACATGATCTTCTAAATACTTCTACGCTGAACATTTTCAATAGAAGCCTTCCGACCTATTTCATGGCTACTATTTTAGGAGGGATGTTTTTCGCTTTTTTTGTGTGTATGTGTGCGTATAAGATCTCATTTTAAGATGTCCTTCAGACTCTCCAAGCATTGTTTCACATGGGTGAAAAAAAACAAACAAAAAAACCCTGCACCAAACCACCAGAACTTTTTTAATTTATCATATTAAAAGTTGTGTTGCTTTCAGTATTTATAGCCATGTTTTCCAGCTTTGGATGGCCATTGTTTTCCTTTGTTTAAATCAGTGGTCGCACTAAGTATAAAGAGGTATATTTGCAGAGGTATTTGACAGAGGTTTCTAAACCCAGGTCTCAGCAGTAAGTTGCATAACGGCTGTGGGAGAGCCAGGTATATGACATTGAATCCCGTGCAGACCTTCAGGACATCCTCAGAGGGAAAAGCCATTTAACAAAACCATGTCATTTGCCCTTTTCACTTTATAATGGAGGGAAATCTGTTGAGCTTTCGAAAGATTTTGATGCAATGCTGTCACCATGTTAAGAGTTGGAACGAGTTAATCTGCCTCTAGGAATCATCCTCAGTCTGAACACTGCTAACTCGCTCTTTCTTGGCTTGTGCACAGGTTTCACACCGCTGCTTCTCAGCAGTAGCTTCTGGGTTTGAAATCCAATCGCTCAGCTCCTCAGGTTTCACAGGGAGTACAGCAACACGCATTGCTTAAAGTACTGGCAGCATGTTGCTCCAGTTGTAAACCAATGACCAAAGCCAGATAAAAGGTAGTAAAAAACAGGTTTCCAGAACAAAAACTGAAGGACTGATCATGCCATTGCCAGTAAATCATATTAACTGGTAAAGATGATACAGCCACTCCATGAATGACTTTACTTTTTAAACAAACAAAAAACCCACAACCCAAACAAACAAATTCAAGCAATTTTATTAAACCTAAGCAGATATATCTACGAGTCTCAACAATTATAGATTGTTGAAACTATGGTCTCATTGTTAACTAGATACTTTAAATACAGACTTGGCTTTAATTGAAGCTGTTATAGTCATAGTCATCCACAAAATAGTGGATGTCAGCATATTCCTTCATTTAAAATGTTAACAAGTTGCCAGATTCATGTGTGTTGGATTGGGAGAGCTGTTAAGTGGAGGCTTCTACAAGTTGATTTAACAGTAAAAATGCTATTTTTAGGGAATCGTACTTTGATATTTATACATGGAAGGGCCACGTGCTTTTCTTGATTCCTTCTGAAGTGCCTGGTGGCCTGAGGTCTGACTGAAGGTAGAATTTGACACACTCAGTGAGATGCCACCTTAAAGATCATATAATTTTGATATTATTTTTCTTTTTGCCTTTTTTATTTACACCTTTTCAAAGTGCTATGTGTTTGGACTGTTTTCTCCTATGATAAACTAGCAATGGGAATTCCATCCACTTCCATCTGGTTCCAGTATATCCAGCCTGTTGTTACTCTCTAAAAAACTTTAGCAACTGACCAGTTCACTTTAAATCAAATGTCTTTCTTGGACTATTTCTCAAGATCAGTGAAGGAAGTTTCATGTTGAGCCCAAATGAGAACATAGAATTTATCAAATATCTTCAAATTCCAGAGTGGCAAAAGCACGTTTTTCCAGCAAGATGCACTTTTTCAAGCAACTGTACGTTGATCCCCTTGCATCTCTGAGGACATGCCTTGAACAAATAAGGCAGATAGATAGCATTGGAAACTCACTTCACTGTAAATGCTAGAATTTACCTTTCTACTGTTTAAACAAGTAGAATCTGGGTGGTGGCGGAACAAAAAGTAGGGGTGGGAGGAAGCAAGGGAGTGCCCTGAATCATGGTGTGTGATCATCAGGATATTTAAAGGAGGGTGAAAAATAATGAATATTCTTAAGATGAGCAGCCTTAAGGCATCAATTAAATAAATGTCATATGATTGCTGGACCTCTAGCCATAACAGATAAAATAATTTGGTTCTTTTTATTATTTTCTTTGTGAAAGAGGGCTAATGGACTTTGTGTCAGGCTGAATTAAAGATGATTGTTGTGAAGAGAGTAAAGCAATTGCTTTGTCTGCAAATTCAAGTTAATTTGTCTCTGATAACTTAGGCTATTCTGTAGGTATATTTTGTTATGAACATTCCTAGAGTATTCATTATAGAAGTATTTTAAAAAACACATCTTCAGACTTACTGTGAAACAGAAGTTAAAATAGTTATTTAAATAGTGTGTTTTCTGAATCTTAAGAAAAACCTATGACTTCAGTTTTGTTTATGAATGTGATTTTATCTACATTCTAACAATATTTTAGAATTCTGACAATTGCAATTTTTTTTTTTCAGGATGCAAGGCATGCTGCAGAAGGAGAAATATACACAAAACTCAATCAAAAAATAGATGAATTTATTCAGATTGCTGATTATGATTGGACAATGTCTGAATCAGATGGAAGAGCCAGTGGATACCTAATGGACCTTATTAACTTTTTAAGAAGCACGTTTCAAGTTTTTACTCATTTACCTGTAAGTGTTCAAAATTAAGTTTAATTTCAAACTGTTTGAGCATTATTTTATTTTAAATACTAAGATTTTGATAATAGATGTGATTTTTGAATTGTGCACATGCTGGCAGATGTCTTTTCTTTCTTTTTTTTTCAATATGGATGTATTTTCAGATGTGTTTCAGTATGTTGATGATTCTTACCCATGATAATACTTAGAAAATGTTTTCAAATACTCTAGTAATAATGTTAACAACAACGGATTTACAAATAGTGTCGGAACTCATGCAGTTTTTTTAGAGCATTGGATAGCCTTCTTAGTTGACCATGGTGGTGCTGTGTACACATGCAATGATTCAAACATACAGAATTGGTGCAAATCTTGCATCTGTGCCAAGACTATGGAGGTCTTGGATTTTCCAAGGTTTTTAGCTAAATAATTTTGATCATAAAAAGTCATTTTATTCTAGTTAACTGAGCTTCATTAAAATGAATCCTTGTTCATATTCAAATATATCCTGTGTCATTTTGTCTCAGGTAAAAAGGTACTGTTAACCCGTTTTATGTACTAATTGTTACATTCCATTGTTTCAGTTCCCCTTGCTTTAAGACAACAAAGACTATTCTAGTTTGATTTATCATCATAGTAGTTTATAGCTTTATAAGTATGGAGTAAGTTCAGTAAATCTTCCAAGCTACATCTGCTTTTCATCAGCTTGTCTTTGGTTGCTGCTGTCACACCCATGCCAGAGCACTTTACCCACATGCAGTGTCTGTATAGAGTATATCCTGAATGCATGGAGTGTTTTGAGGCTCCAGACCGGAAGTAGAAGATAGTGTCTTTAAGTGCCCAGCGGGATGCTGAAGTTGCTGGCATAGTGGGCTTACCTGGTCTTCCAAATGATGTGTGAAGATGCTGTGATTCTTCAATCTCCTTTTTCTTTTTTACTGCCTCAAAGGCATAACCCACTCAAAACATACCATGTAATACTGATGTGAATGTGCTGTGTGAGGCCTGTGCTTCCGTGCCAAATGAGCTGAGCATTTTTGATGAAGGATAACAAGCTTGTTGCATAGTTAAATTAGTTGTAACTTAACATGTGAAGCAGTATGAACAAATGGCACTGCTCCTCCCTGGCCGTATGCACATAGCAGTTAAGAGATATGCAGCTTCTAGAGAAGGACGCATGGAAGTCTGACATGAGCACATGTTGTGATGTAGCTCTTCAGAAATGAGCCACAGCCAGAATGAAGTAACATGTTAGGAGGGGTGGAAAGAAACAGCTGTGGCATTGGGACTCAAAAGGGATGGAACAATATGCCTGGGGGCACAGGTCAACCTAACTCCTGTGAAGAGGTTATTCTGTAATTTCAAACTCTGATGGGGGAACAGGCAGGACGTAGAGCTAGACAGACATCTAGTCTGGTCTGGCAAGAAGGTTCTTGTAATTTTTGATTTATCCTCTGTATTGCTCCCTGTTCTGACTTGGCTTATGTAGAAACAATTGACTGCCCCTATGAATGTTGTTGTGCATGAGCTGTGGAGGTTATATGAAACTATGTATCTGGTTTTATTATGGTGATTCTGGTTAGATTTGTAACAGCAAGCAATTTGCATTAGGAGAATATTTGTAGTAAAAGCATTTTCAAAGATAAACTCAGAACTAGGTTCCATAGCTCATTATAACAGTAAGTGCTTTGGAGTGCTAGACGAAGCTAGATTCTCAAATGCTGTAGGTAAAATCTGGAGTAATTTTTAGTATTCATTTTCCTTAATGGATGGTTGCATTAACATCACAGTATCATTTCCATATTATTTTTTTATGGCTGGCAGAAACATTCCACTGCTCAAAATAGTTTCTCAGAACCTTTTCTGTAATTAGAAATCAAGCAAATCCTAGCCTCTGGCCACAATTCTAGTAAGGAAAAGAGCAGGAAAAGTAGAGGAATCTCCTCGCTCCTACCTCAGTGTATCCGATCAATGTTAGAGGTCATTGTGCTGGGGCTAGGAACTAGCTGACCACACTGGTTCTACATAGTCTTGTTCAAGGGTCACTGACTTTCTCATTGATATTGTTTCAAACTCTGGTCATCTTGTAGAAATGTTATATAATATATGCTTTAGCAATTTTTTGTTGTGGTCATTGGGTTCCTGTCACTGGAGCCTTGTTTTGTTTCAGCACTATGTGTAAGCTGTCTGAGTGCTCAGGGATGTGTCTCCTTCTGTACTTCCACGTGGGGCTATACTGAAGTATTTCTGTACAGATGCCACCATAACTTCTAAAAAATACATCTCATGTTACATATTTGTTTTTGCAGTTTGTATTATTTTTGTTGGAACATTAGAGGTCTAAATCAGGCAGACTGTGATCTCAATTTTACTGAATCTGCACACTGTGGCACAGCTTAGTTGGAGTCTGATATCTCTATTGCATCACTGAAAATGTTATCTGTCTCTGGAGCTTTTTTTTTTTCCTTTTCCTTAAGTTTTTCATCTTAATTTTTCTCCCCTGTGGCTGTTTAGTGTACTTAACAAGCAATTTTGGAAGAGAAAATAGCTTATTCCACCCTGCAGTTATATTACCACTGGATTTAGGTTAAAATTTGTTTATGAGTCATGTTATATTTAGATTCTCATTGTCCTGAGCCATTCTAAGTCTTGCCTGAGCAAAATATGTTAATGATGTACAGATAGCCTCTCTAAGCCAAGATGGCAAACATGGCATTTATTTTTTAGTGAAAACTTCCTGGAAAGGTGTATCTACAGATGCTTTGTCATTTGAAGTTTACTGCTTTTATATTTTGGCATACAGTTCCTTGTTACAGAAAAATATTTAATTACTGAATTGGTATTATTTAAATTATAATCTCAACAAAATACTATGTAAATTCACAGATTTAAAAAAAAAAGAGTAAAGGAGTTATGTGGCTGTAATTGTTCTTCTTGGAAGCTTTTCCTTACCTTTTATTGCTACCAATTTTTTATTCTTTTGTTTTTTGATGTTGACAGTACATCTTAATTTTTTTGTTTTGATTGCCTTACTGGTTTCCTTCTCAGAATAACAACAATGACCATGCAGCTATGTCGGTAAGTAGATGCAAGATGAAGAAAAAAGCATGTGAACTGAAAAACTATGAACTGCCTGCAGGCTTATTGCTTCAATTTTTAATCATTTAATAAAAAGAACGTTCTGTTTTGCTGATGACTTGCCGCGTACCTTGTGTGGTTGCATGCAGGGATCAAGTTAATGACTAATATTGAGCTTTTGTACACTGGGACAGCAGGAACCCTAAAAACCTTGCAGAAGGTTGGTGAGGTGTCCCTTGCATCCCAAGTGAAATAACTTAGAGGAAACTATGAGAGAGGTCAGGTATCAAAATGCAGTTATGAGACATGCGCACAGAATAAGGGTAGAGTGATATAACAGAATAAATATTGGTGAAAAATCCATCGTTTCTCTGCTACATCTGCCTGAGGTCAAGGGAATGTGTGTGTTCACCTTCTGTTGTTTTTTTTTTTTTTTAAGATTATTGTGGATGGCATTTAAGAATTCTTCCAAGCCCTGATTATTTTCAGGTCATCAATTTCTGTATAAGGAATTTATTTGGATTTGACATAAACATTTTCATGATAACGAAAGTATTGAAAATAATATTATGAGTAGCTTCTGAAAAGTGAATTTCTGAATTTACTTCTACTATTTTTTTCTAATGATGTAGTTGAGACTTGTTCACTTAAGCAACTACTGTGTACTGTGCTGTTCACTGTTTAAGTGAACAAATGTAAGGCACTTAGAGTACACAGTGTGGGAATATGCCTATTCATTGCTACAACCTGGAAAGCAATTGGCTGAATAGTGGTTTAGTGGATCTGGAGAGAGGATCTAGCACTGGATTTCCCAGCTGTCAGGAGCCTAGTGTTACAAATGGAGGTTTCGGGAGGTGAATTATTTAGTCTGTTAAGGAGAAGGCTGAGGAGAGATCTAGTGACAGCCTACAACCTCTTAAGAATAGATACAAAGAAGACAGAGCCAAGCTGTTCTTGGTAGAATGGACAAATTCACATGTGGCTGTGGTCACAGGCAGAAGCTTGGAAGGTGAAGCTTTGACATCGAGGAAGGAGTTTGCGTGAGTAGAGTAGTGCGGTGTTGGAAGAGGTTCCCCAGGGAGGCTGTTGCTTTCCCATCCTCACTTGTACTGAAGACTCGGCCAGAAGAAAGGACAATGGACCTGAACTAATGTTCGTAGTAGTCCTACTCCAAGTAGGAGGCTGGACTACATGGCGCTGGTGATTCATTCCAATGAGCATTTCTGTAATTTGAATACTCAGCCTCTGTTGAACCGTCAAGCTCATTAGGTGTCATAAGCACAATGGATATTGAATATTTCATATAGAAATACTTCCTGTTTATGTTGAATAGATGTTGGTGTGCTGGTTATGTCATGACCAAGCACTAGCAGAATTTCAGCAGTGCAGATCCCAGAGGCTGCATTGCATTTGGTTATCATTTGAGAGTAATGAAATTTTTAATGGTTCTGTTTTCTAAAGTCACAGGAATTTGAGATTGTATCCATTTTCAGGAACTTTTACATGCAACTTATAGTGCCATTAGGTTCTTCAAATCAAAAAGCAAATTAATCTCATGCAATCAATTGGATGATCAAATGTGTTACTAAGGACCTACATTTTTAGTTTTTATTTTGAACAGTTAAAGAAAAAAATTACCTTCTATTTTCAGATCAGTTAATTTGAAATTATGGAGGGTGGATATATAAACGGTTTTAAGTTTAGAATTAACTGAATTTTTATTCTAGATATGTGCTTTGTATCAGACAAGTCTCTGGAAAAGAATGACTATTGAAAAGTAACAGTTACAGATTATTTCAAACAGATTTTTTTGCTTTAGTATTTCAGTAGCATTGGGGACAGAGACTGGAAGTAAAATTGATTCTTAAAAATTCCACTAGTATTTTTTAGTATGCTTCTATTTTATCAGTAGTTTAAAAGTTGGATTTTAGTCCTAATGTTAAGAACTGTAACACATTTGTTGTTACACGCAATAAAATCTGTATGTTTCGTTTCATTGCATTTTCAGACAGTTTTTCATTATGTCACTTCATATGGTTAAATTAATTCTTCAGCTTAACTTCTTAGATTTTAACAGATACATTTTGTTATTTCCTTTTATGCTGAGGATGGCAGTTTGTGTTATTTTATTGTTTCTGTGATTGGCAACAAAGGCCCAATTTCACAGCTTGCCGTGAGGGTGAAGGGGGGGTGTCTTTCTGCAGCTATATTCAAAAACTGTCAATCCACAGCCTCCACAGGCTACTTAGAGAATGGGTTTTCGTAGCGATTTCTCCAAATGCCGCTTCATGCTGTCTTTGATTGGCACAGCCTGGCAGGGAGGATGGATGAATCTGTCACTGGCCGGTTAATTGTGTTGCTAGTCTCAGCCTGACATCAGGTCTTTGACTCTTAAGTGGCTCAATACAAAACAAATTAGCAGATTGTAGTCATATTTCTCATTCTATATGCTTTGACTTTGTTGAATGCAGTCCATAAATCATATTGACTGACACCATAGTGAATGATGAAAGCTGCTTTTGAGACAGCTAGCGTGGGTCTTAGAAAGCAGTACCGCGAAGGTGCCATGGAAGGATGCATACGGCTGACCCTTTGGGAATTTCCTAGGAGCCAAATGTCTCTTTACTGCAATTGTTCTTAGGAGAAAAGCTTTGGAGTCCTATAAAAAAGGATTTAATATGTCAGCAGATTCTCTTTACAAGCTCCTTTGAAATATAAGAAGTTTGTCTAAGGGTTTTCTCCTTTTACAAACTTGTATTTCAGCAAAATGTAAAGGCTGGGTGAAAAAACAGTTGCCTTTAACGCCGTTAGCAGGTGTTTTTTTCTTGTAGAATAGGGTCCTCGTTTCCTAAACTTTACATTGGTTGAGTGGAAGAATAGGTTTTGTAGATAGCAGCAATTAGCATAGGCACAGCGGAGATAATAGTAATGTCTCCAAATGGGAGGTGACTGGAGTGGATGTGAGAAGCCTGCTGAATCTCTGCATGCTATTGAATATAAGTATTTAATTGCTAGATACAGTAACCATGGCCACCCCCCCTTAAAATGGTAATTAAAAAAAAAAACAAACTGACAAATAATAAGCATTAAGAATGTTTTAAAACTAACTGAGATTTGTTTAATTCTGGAAGTATGTTATTGCTATGTTTGTGAATTGTTACATTTCCTCTTCAAAATGCACTATGGAAAAATGGCAAGGAATTGATTAATTGGTGCATGGTGGACATATGGAAATAGATTTTTAGCTAGATCTCGTTCGTCAAATACAAATTTGAATTTTGTTCTTTTCTGAATATTGTACATCCAACATATTTTGAACTGGGAAGAGGAATTTCGAATTTTGAAGAGGATAACAGTAAAGCTCACTTTTCTCTGAGTTAAAATTCAGCGTTTTCATTGATATATGTCGTTTTTCTCTAGATTTAGTAAAATAAATTGACTATATAGAGCAAGTATAAACCGTGTTTAGTAAACTTCTATTATTTGTTATTATGTCATGTGAACAATAAGCCTGTAGTTCAAGTTACATAGTTGGAAAGAGTTTAAATGTTAGGATGTTTCCACTTTATGAAATATAAAATAAACATTAAATGTACATGTATCGATACTTATTTAAAGTCTAACTGGCTTTTGCCATGTCATTTCTGTATTGTAACCATTATCTTGTGCTCCAGTACTATTGATATTTGCCAGATTATAACAATTAACTACAGATGCTTGTTAGAAATATTAAATTCTGTCTTTTGTTTAAAATAATAGAGGAATATACATTGTTTGCATATAAAATAAATTGAATGTTAAAATTTTTCTTGACAACCTATTAATCTGGTTGAACTTTTATTTCATTAGAGTGGCAGCATAAATAGGACATGGAGCTGATTTGATGGAGCAGTACATTAAACAGAGATGCACTAGTTGTTCCATTAAATCAAAATGACACTTCCATTAAGTATTTCAAACCTACTACACTGTAATTAAATGAGCTGTGGCCCATTGATTCCCCTTCTCACCTCCTTTTTTCCTTTTTTTCCCCCCTCTTTTTTTCCTCTTTTCTTTTTCCCCCCCCATTCATATTGATACTGTTCTGCTTGGGAACTAGAGCTGCATGTCTCCCAGAGTAATTACCATTGGGTTTGGGAGACTTTTAAGCATGCTGGTTTTGCATTGTTTCTTACATTCCTCATTGTCAGCTCATCTATTTTGGTCCGAAATGTTATTTGCTTTTCTGAGATTTTGAATTAAGAACTGACATCTCATTTTAGATATAAAGCTCCTAACAGTTCAAGGTGTCTAATGCTAAAGAGATATTAGCAACAGCAATTTAATATTTCATTGTGACCTGAGGAGAGTGAACACTTTCCATTTTATTGTCTACAATTTAATTACTTTTTAATAAAGAATGTTTTTTTAAAAGTACAAAGCATTTAGGGCCAAATTTGCTTTCTGATATACGTAGACATGAAAATTCAATGATATAAGCAAGTTGTCTTATTAAGGATAAGAGCTGGCTCTTCAGATGTGGCAGCAGAACGTTCCAAACTTTCTGGGACAGTCTATCCTTGTAATTTTTCATTGCTTATATGGGTTTCTGCGAGTCAACAGTGAATTGATCACCTTGACTTCGCAGAAAACAGCTGGGGAACCATTGCTTTAGAAAAAGAGGTGCCTTCATTTTACTGACAGATATAAGTAAAATGACAGTGGTGTGTGCTCCAGTAGGTGTACTATGTAATTTTCATTTTTTTTAGTGCAAGCGTGTTAATAGGTCCCTTTGTTTGGATATGTATTGTAAGACAGACATCAGTTGAGCAGCATGATTTAGGTGCATTAAGTGAGCGAGATTCATATAATTGCATTTGAAAGCCAAGATCAGCCCGCTCTAAAAGATTGCAGTGCTATGAATAGAACGGTGCCATCTGATTGGGTATCTGGTTTAATTGGCTTTCCTAATTCTAAGGTAGAATTTCCGCGTCTTTCCATTTTTCTGTAGTAATATTTTAATAATAATCAAATCAATATATGATTTTGTGCTTTGTTTTTTGGTCTCATGTTTGGAAAATTATTTGTCTCAATTTACATATGCATCATAAAGACAAATGTTACTAACTAGACTGTGATTGGAAAATTATTTCTATTTTGTACAGCAGAGGGCTACATTTCATTTTGTAGACAGTTGATTACTGACACGCTGATTTATCAAGCACCTGAAAAGATGATGAATAAGCAGGAATAGTTTGAATTGTTTAGCAACAAGCTTTGAGATGGAATTCAAGCAATTAAAGCACAAATAATTAGCACTGGCTGTTATGAAAAATACCCCATTTGAAAGCAGTGGTTTTGTTTTATAAAAAATTTGGGTGTGTTTTACTGACTGTTTTAACTGTGCAGCATGTTGATTTTTGTTATTTTCTTTTCTTGCTTTTATTTCTGTTTAGGTTAAAAAAAAATTAAGAAATCCACAAAAATGTTCATATGCTTCAGCAGCTTATGTTGTTATTGTTTTGGAAATGTCCTTGTATTTGTGAAGACAGTTGGATTTCCGGAAGAAATATCAATAATTGCTTTAACATATTTAATTCAGTTCCCCGATTGATTTAATAGAAACAAAGCTAGCAGGTTAAAGAAATGAAAAGAAGTGATATCTGTCTCCTTCTAGTCTAAGTCCTGCATCATTAAGACTTTGAGTGTATGTTAAAACCAAATCAGATAAGCAGCTCTTTAGAGATGTGTCCTCTTCTTCTGTCTTAAAACCTGTTGCTCTTTCTACCAGGGAAAAGTGGCCCAGACAGCTTGCATGTCAGCCTGCCAGCATCTTTCAACATCCCTATTGCAGATGCTACTGGACACTGAATTAAAACAAATAAGCATGGGAGCAATTCAGCAGTTTAATTTAGATGTGATACAGTGTGAATGTAAGTAGATGTTCCAGAATTCCTATCTATGTCTGTCTTACCACTGCAAAAAATTTCTTTAGTGCAAGCCATATGGTGAACTTTTTCCATAATGTACTAAAGCTTTGTCATTTTTGAAAGAAAACTATTACAGCACACCTTTCTGTAAAAGTATTAATGAATAAGTATGTTAACCTTTCTCTGAAATTTGTTTATGAAACTTTTTTTTAACTCAGTACCTAATTGAAATATACCTTAAGTGTTACTCCTAATGGAATAATTTACCCAGTTAAAAAACTACAGTATAGTACAAAATTGCCTAAATCCACTACATAAATATAGTGCTTTTATAGTTTAGGAAAAAAAGGTCAAATGTCTGTAAAATTTTAATTTTCTCTCTTGAGTTTATTTATTATAATAAAATTTTTAAATTTACTGTTACATAGGGTTTCCTACCTCCTAGAACTACTTACTTACTGTGCAGAATAATAGTACTTATTTAGTAAATACCAGCTATTGTTCTGTTGTCACTTTTCAAAAGCTGGCATCAGAATTATTTTATAAAAAAACGTTCAATCCAGCACTGAAGGCAGGATTTACTTCTGTATATTTTGTGTGGAGCTCACTACTGAGAGTGAGCTGTTGATCTGTGTGAAGGAAGCTACCTGCAGAACATGGTTGTGTTATGAAGATGTTTTACGTCTGGTTTTATTGTAGATGACTTAGATACAGTGTTTTTTTCAATGCGTATTTTCAGTTTCTTATGTTCTGGTTTTTACAAAGTACCTCTCCTCGTGCGTGTTTGAAGCAATGTTTGAATTTCAATGATTTTGGTGACCTCTGTAAAAAGGGACAAGTCATATCATGAGGTTTTCAGTTTGGACATGTGAAAAAATTGGTGACTACTCAATTAGTGGCCACCTACGGGAAACTGAAAATTTGATTTCAAGCAATATGGTTAGCATCACAAAGGGGTCTTGTGGGAGTCCAGGGCAGATTTAAGGGGCATTTTTTACGTTTTAGCCATATGCTTGTCTTCCTTCTCCTGCCTTATTTGTTACATCCCATGTAAACTCTGTAACAGGTAGAGCAGGCATCCTTCTGATCGTCCTTCATTATGCAGCCTTGAGGCCTTTCACTGCACAGAATGAACTGCTGGGATTATCAGGATCCAATAGAAAAAAATATTTGTGATCATTACATTAATGTTTGTCTCGTGATTGCACAAGTTGGCCAAACAGATGATGGCTTGATATTTTTTTTTTTTATTTTTAGTACTTTTGATGTTGCAAATTTAAGTGCTCTTTTCAGGTAGGTGGGCAGGGCTATGCGTATGTGCATTTGTGTAGTTTTTCCAGATGTAAAAAGATCTCAGTTGTAAACGCAGAAAACCCATAGTATTCGTAATACTGCCACCATAGTCTTTCATCTAGACAAGCTGAATTGGTGCACCCACTACACAGTCATCTGCCTTCTTGACAAATAGTGTAACAGTGAAGAAAGCTTGCCCACTACTGTATTATTCTGTTTCTAATATTTAAAATATCATCTGTGAACAGTGCAGTACTTCACCACCCTGCACAGATTAACGAATTCACTGTTTAACTAGGGGATTCCTAGCAGAACAGGGGATAAAATGCATGCCTTGCAGGTGACTTTCACAGTATGAACAGTATTTTCACAGCAAAGTAATGACAAGTCCCGAGTGTTTGGCTGTCGTCTGGTCTCTGGGTTGTTTTCAGACCTTCTTCATCTCAGCTCTTGCCTTGTTATGTAGTATCCTAATTTCTGTTACCACTCTCCCTCCTATTTCCACAGTGGAAATTTCAGTCAATGAAGAGACCTTAGTAGAGTTGTATTTAATCTAACACAATAACATTTCCTTATTTTAAGATTAAAATATAACCTAAGACAGCATTTTTTCTTATATGTGGCTGTTATACTGAGTGCATGGCATGGACAGGACATGGAAAATATGGGGCCAAAGTCAAAAAGTTTCAGAAAACTAACAACTTGGAGACTGAAATATGCATTCTTTTCACCATTACATAACTTCTAGTGCAGGCTGTACAGATAAAAATAGAAAAAACTTCAATTCTTCCTTTCTGCAACGGTTTTAAAGCACATTAGGAAAAAAGTGGTATTGTACAGAAACCCTTTGAGTAGTTTAAATACAATTTTAGAAGCTTATCAGAATAGGATGTTGCAACAAATGACACCTTAAGATCGGTGGAGTAAGGGATTGACAGAAGATTTTGCTCTGACTGCTCTGCTGTTGTGGTTTCATTCATAAGATACATCACAGGCACATTCCAGGCCTTGCTGTGATGCCTGTGATTTATGTTCTTGCTCATCACCCTCCCCTAGCTTTATTCTTTGACATTTTGGGATTAATGGATACGACAGTGACATTTCAATTAGTGCTTAGAGTGTGAGAATAATTCACAACTGTTGGGTTGTTTCCTACTGTACTGGATACATTGGGTTTGACATTCTACTTAGACACAATAGAGTATGCTCAAACGCATTTTGAACTACAAGTTATGTGAATTGTAGAAGGTTATGCATGTCTGAAGATACATTCTTTAAAATTCTTGACAGCATTCTAGATATTTATTTCTATGTTTAATGTTGCATTGTAATTCTTTCCAGTGTTAACTGGAGGAGATGTGAACAGAGGCAGGAAAATGTGATTACTCGTCAAACCTTTTCATTTCCGCTAAAAAGCAATCAACAGTCCAACCAACAACCCCACAACTTGTTAATGAGTAAACATCTGTTGAAGTCAGTAAGTGCTAAAGTTCTTAGTCACAGCAAATAGGTAGAACGATAAGTGAACTTCCAAGAGAGGAAGGTGGAAGGGCAGAAGGTGATCTTGTAGCAAACTCTGAGATTTCATTATCCTGCACTGTATTTCTATGCAAAGTACCTAACTTTAAAAAGCAGAGCAGAAAATCTTGAAGTATCTGATATTTTTGCTCAATAGTAATAGTATCAGGTGGTCATCTGTGACGTTTTATAAAAAATAAAAACAAGTTATTATTTTCTTACTTTTGTTCTAATAGGTTTTTTTTGTTTCCTTCTAAACATTCCAAACACTTTCAGTCCAATTTCAGTTTGTCCTGTTCAGTTTGAAGTATTTCTCCACTTTCTCTACATATTTTATAATTTAGAGCAATGTTTTATCTCTGTATTTTACGCTGTTTTCTCTCAATGGTGATCTACTACGATGACTGGGATTCTTACAACAGTAATCAGAAAAATAGAATGTACTAGGTCCCATTGGATAAAACCCAAAACTTAGTATTTTGCTTGGGCACTCACTTTCAGTGCTCTGAGGAGGGAAATGAGTTGAGGAGGCATTTGCTATTTCTTGAAGATGAAATTCAAATGTAGTTGCTGTATCTCATTTTGTGAGAAGCAAGGTGTACATAATAGAAAACGAGCTTTTCAGAGACACCATCCAGATCTAGGTACCTTGTCAGAAATTCTAATTGCTGGAAGAGTTAATTTATGTGTTTTAACACAGCTGTATTGTAAGACAAGATTAATTGGCAGGAGGAAGTATGGTTGAGTGGGCATCCTCCTTCACCCAGACACGAACCTGTGCAAGGATGAAAAGGTTTTGCCTATAAATGAGCATAGTTTAAGTGGAGAATTAGCACAAAGCAGGATGCAATATACCTTCCTAACCAGCCCTACACCAGACATGCAGCCGGTCTCTCCTTTTTCACTCACTGTGTGGAGAACTGCAGTACCCAAGAGCAAGAAACACCTTGACCCAAGTACTCCCTGTAGTAGGTAATCTCAAGGTGGGCACACTAGAAGCTGAGGAACTAAAATCCTGGTTTCCCTTGAAAAGGCACTGTACTCTCCTCTGGAGGCCCCTCGCTTTACCTGCCTCCTCTCCCATCTGGGAAGTCAGGTTAACTTAATTCACTTGAGACCATCCTTCATCTGCCAGGCCCATATGGCAGCGTGGGAGCGAGGGGAAGCAGCCCAGCGTGGCTGGGGCTGGGGGCAGGGCTGGGGGCTGCTGCCGGGCCAGCTGGCAGCTCCCTCAGCCCTGCTCCTCCGGGCATGTTTAAACAGCTGGAGCATCCAACCGGGCTGCAAAGTGGCTGACAGCCTGAAGGCTGCAGAGATGGTCACCTGATTCGCTGCTCTTCCTTTAAAAATACATTCATAGCTTTGCTGGCCTGCCTGAGGATCAGTGCTATGATGCTGAAGGAAAACTGGTCTGGTTTAGCTTTTGTTCCTAGGTCTGGACTCTGTTTTTTACTTTCTGCCATTGAGCAGCAACACTACTTGTCGGGAATTAGGTACTGAATTCACAGACCAGCAGAGAGGCATAACCAGATGATGGCTAAATGATGGGGTTTTGAGAGAATGAATTTGTGACCTCTTAATAAATGTAGAAGTGCATAGAAATTCTGTATGATTTACAGTTAAAGATGTCTTAAATTCCATTTTTATCAGTCTTTTCCTGAGATAACCATTAACACGTGTATACGTCAATTCACATATATCCTGTATATAAAATATAATAAAAATATAAAAGCAGAGAATTAAAAATAAAATGGGCTGAATTATTCTTTACAATTTTTAAATTTACCATTCTCTTGTATATATTACCTTCCAGCTTGTTTTTGTATTGTTACATACTTTTTTCATTAGATCCTACCTCCTGTAAGTTCCCAAACTGGATGTTGTAGGAAGTACATTGAGGTTGAACATACCATGGATGCACATTGTGCCAAAGATCCTGTTCTATATACACAGAGGAAATCTACCCAGGATCAGCAAAGTGCAGGGAAAGAAGTTGTTAACAAAAACCTTGTGAATACTAGATTCACGTAATGCGTATTTTCAGCTTATTTTCTGCAAAAACATTTTAAGTTTCTGATTCAAACTACAAAGCAGCCAGTTATTTGCCCCTGTATGTGACAGTTTAATGGTCATCTTTGCATTTCTTTCTCATATATTATAAAATTCCTGAATGCTCTTATGCACACTAAAACAACCAACCAACCAGCTCCCTACCCCTCCAAATCCTCTTAAAGCCTAGAATGAATGTAGGGGGTGAATATTTTAAAAGACGTATATATGACAGTGTTTCATTATTATCTGGAAAAGGACCCTTAGGACAAAGTCATTAAGAATGTTAATCTTGTTCTTACAATATCTTCCTAAAATGCTGTGCAGTAGAAAATATTTAATTAGCTTTGTAAAATTGTTAGCAAAACTTAAAAGCCCTGAGCTAAGGGCGGAGCGGGAACTGTCTGACTGTTACCATAAGTAGATAATCCTTTCTGCCCTTTGAACTCATAAAATTGTAATAATGAAACAAATTCTACTGTAATCACTGGTCAAAAATTACCTAAATGTGAGAATATATGCTTGTGCGATAGCGAGTGTCCCTGGTGTTGTAAATGCATTCATAATATAAAATTGTAGTTAAAGAGAACAAAATTCATACAATAATTGCTTGTATGGTGCTTATTCTGTAGCTTCAATGATAGTAGGTACTATGTAGAGAAGCTCAACATTACTACATTATTTAATACATTAGGATAAATTCCAAACTATGTTAGGCTGATGATCTGCAGAAAGGATACAAATGTTTGCCCTGTGGCAAGTAAAAGTATCCCACTATAGGAAGGTACCTCCCAAAGTATAAAATGTCAGTAGCTAACTGAAAAGTTTTGCTGCAGGTCACATTTTTTGGTTATATTCACTTTTCCATTCTGTAGCCATTCCTTTGCCGTAGAGCTTCCTTCTCCCAGTGCTACCAGTGTGGAGTGGCTGGCAGAGCTGAGATTTTAATGGGACGGAAGCTGGTCTCCGTGTGCTGTGCATTAGCAGCAAATTATACAGGATCAGATACAGATGGGCCTTACCCTTCAAGAATAGGACGGGTTCTCCTTCCCTCTTCAGGGGATGTGGAAAAGACCCCTTCTCACCATCGCATTTATCCTCCCTGTAGGCGTGCTGCCACAGCTCACAACTGGGGGATCTCTTTTAGCTGTTTGCTGTGGGGCATTGTGAAGAATTCCCTGCTATAGTTACGATGCTTCCACTTCAAACACTGTATTTGGCTGACGACAGGGGCCAGCACCGTAGGCCTGCAGTCCCTGAAGAAAGGGTGATTCCAGTGGCCATGAAATACCTGCAGAAGACAGCCACGGAGGCACCCAACCCTTTGGCCTAGGGTGTTGAGAAGGGTGCTTTCACAAGCCTGAAGATCTTTTGTTCTTCTGCAAGTTGGTTGCACCGACTGCTTCCTCTTTGCTGCTTTTAAAGAGTTTCTTACTAAGCAAACTCTCTCTATAAAATGCTGGGGATGCTTTTCCTACTGCTTTTTATCTTTTTTATTTAAAAAGCATCTTTGTGGTAGATTGAAGCTCCCTGAAAACTCCTCTACAAAGTTGGTGTTACTAACAACATAGGAAAGACAGACAATTTCAAATTCAGACTTGAATATAATAATCAATGAGGATTGCCAACTATTACCAGTACTTGTCAGTGACATTACAGTGTTCTCCACAGGGTGTCTGATTGCTATCTTCTATTCCTTTAGTTGTTGATGATTCAAGTCATGCTCAGGTTCTATTCATTCTCTTGTTAACATGGCTGTCCATAAAAATGTTTGTACTACTGTAATACAAGGAATAAATTCTGCCTCTACTGATAAAGCTATTGCTCTGATACTGTATTCATCTATTACAAAAGCAATTCTTAGATTTTCTGAGGTGGTCTTAGTAGCTTCATGTACCACTTAAGTAAGAATCTTTATTTTTATTTACAATTTCCTTCCATATAATCATTTTTAGACTTGTGAATAGCCTATCTGTATTCATTAGTCTGCTTTAAGTTGAAACCATACATTCAGAAGTAAATGACTATATAGCCCATTATTTTACCATCATGTTAGCTCAGACACCGATGTTCTTCTGGATGTTACTTTCACTTAATGATCCAAATTTTCTAACTAGCCATTAAAAAAAAAAAGAATCTATTAAAGATTTCCTATAACTTTAAATGTTAGTAGGAGTCCATGTGGCATAGCAGAGCTGAGCACTGGATCTGAACACCTGCCATTGAATATTTCTCAAGCCTAGAAAAAAACTTTACCTTTCATTGTCTCAGATGATGGCTCTCTAAAACTATTACAGTGATATCTACTTTGTTCTGTTAAGAACTCTAACTGAAGAGCGTAAGAAAATTTCTCAAACTCTTTTGAAGTAAGATACCTAAATTGAGTGGGGCTGTGCAGCAGTGGGTGTTTCTGCAAATGTCTTTGTTATTAATGTGTGTCTGGGATAAGAACAACAGAAAAGTGTATTTTTTACTGTTATTGTTTCTTGATTTAAATGAATAGCTGACATTTTTCCATTACCATAAGTGTTACCATATTTTGTATTTTGAATATAATTTTGCCTTCCAATTTTGGCAGCCTATTTTTGGGTTCAAAAAGAGCAGAAGTTCACTATTGGCTAAAAGGAGTGAACAGGCATTTCAGCTCTGCTCTGACTGTGGCACATAGAGTTTTCCACCTGTCATCTACACATTAAATTAACTCCTACCTTAGTATTTGTCTTTTATTGCTTTTTGACTAGAGGTGGAGTTTTATAACGCAAATGCTGTAACAAAAGCAGATGTTTGAAAATAGGTTGACAGCCATGGAATTGGTATTATTTCAAAATTCTTCAGTAATCGTTCACCTTAGGCCAAAAAAAGGATGTTGGTTGTACCATTACTATGAGGTTTGAAGCAAAATTCCTAAAAATGCTCCTAAAGGTATTATTCTTTAGGATTATTGGGAAAATGATGGGAAAGTGTTTTGTTGGTTTCTTTGCTTTTAATCACTGTGAATTATTACTTTAATCTATTTCTATCAAACTAGTTCAACACTAGCTGTTATTTATATTGCATAGAGCTTGATTTTTCTGTTAGATTTTAAAGAAAAATCTGTATCTGTAATATTTTTAACCTTCCTTTGCAGTGTTTGCTAGTTCTGAGCCTGTGCCAGGATTCCAGGGAGACACCCTGCAGTTAGCTTTCATCGACCTCAGACAAGTAAGACATTAGTTGTTGTTTTTTATCCTACTAATTTCCCCTTTTGACCAACGCTGAAGTTATTAAGTTCGAGAACCTTTCATGTTTTTGCATTCCCATGTAATTAGTTTTGAAAAGCAGTTATTTCGAGTGTTGTTAGTGGCACTATTCCCTGTAATTTAGCATAAAACTGTTTCTCCAGTGTGTTGTTAGGGGGCACTGTGCTACTGGTGGTACTGTTACAGGGATGTAGGATTGAATTTTGGTCCTGACAATTTTGTAAAGATGGTGTGATGTCTTTTTGCAAGAGTGTACTTGCTGTACTGGCATGTACTGGCCTGATTCCATTCTGAGCACTTGGTTCTGTCTAGAAAACTACTGCCTGGAGAGCAGAATCAGGAATGCTTTTATTTAGCATTTCCTTTCCTTAATTTGTTACACAGAATTCTTTAAACTGTTAGAAAGAAGTTGTATTGCAACTAGGTGATCTTCATCCTATATCAAATTTAATTTTAAATGCCTTTCTATTGGAAGGACTTTTCCATAGTTCTTGCCAAAAGGAAGTTTTTTCCCAGACTAAAATCTACTTATCTTAATTTCACATAGTTATTTCTATCCCCTGCTCCCTGTAAATTCTGATGCTATATCCACTCATAGCAATTAATTTTCAAAAACTTTTCATACTTGAAGTAAGCTTTTAGAAAAGATTTATTATTTCACAAAATTGTGTCATTTAAATAGCAATATGAATTCATTAACTGTACATGGAAGGTCTTTAGCTTTCTACAGATGTTGGTGATATTTTTCACGACCATATGAGCCTGTCAAAGTCATGAGAAAGGAAGAGAATTGTATAAAAACTTCCATACCAAATTATCTATATGGTAAGAATATTCTTGCTTTTCATAGTTCAGTAGGTTTTTCACAGCAAGACTATGAGAAGGCATTTCAGAAGGGAAAATTACTGATCCAGAAGTATCCCAGTTTCTCCTAATAGTTAGTAAGGACTTATAGTCTTTTTAAATGAAAAAGTTGAATGGTAGACTTGTCTGTTACATTCTCACAGTAATACAAAAATTAACAATATTTACTGTGGGATAAACGTGGACTACGTGAGAAGGATATGGGATCGTGGCCATAAGATTCACTCATGTGATACTTGTACATCAGGAGTTCCAGAATTCAGCATGTGAAGTTGTACTCTGCCAGACTTCAAATACCGCAAGTCTTGCCTTGACTAGCAGCCTTCCTCTTTTAGATTCTTCTTTATTCTCCTTTTATTATCAGTGGTAGAAGTGACTAAACATCCTCCAATTTGTTTTAAGTCAATTTAGTTGAAGGCAAAGGATGCTGAGAGATTTTGGCACCATTTCTGTCATCCACCAAAGTGGTATAAATCCTTGCAGAGCCTATGTTTGTTTCAAGGGAAAACATGATTTCCAGCTGTGCAAGAGGGCAGGGTGTGTACATACTTGCTACAGGAAATAAATAATATTTTTGTATGTTTTAAGCACCAACTGTTGAACATGTTGCATAGATAGGGATTATGTTGTTTACGATAGCTCTCGGTTTATATCGGCAACTTCAGAATTTTCTTGATGCAAGTAATGCTTTACGGAGGATGCTCTGTGTGCCAGGGGTATCTAATGGGATACTTTATGAATAGTAAAAGCCTGGAAAACTCTGTTGAGTTGCAGTTGGAGCTTGTAGGTGCAGAATAGTTCTAGTATATTTGTTTTGATTTGTGGGGTTTTTTTACTATATTTTTGTGTGCTTCGACAAAAGGTATTGCAAGCGTACGTTAAAAACACTCAGCGTTTAGTAAAGATTTGCAGTGTTTTCCCTCTCTTCCTTATTTGTGATCTATTTCTATCTTAATAGGTTGGATGACAGTTCTTTTCAAGAATACTTAGAAAGGCAACAGAGCCTTTTTCAGAAAGTTCTTATAAAAGGTCATGCTTCTGTTTTTTAGTTTGAATTTGATACTTCTTCATGAATTGCAGGATATGAAAGATAAGGAAGTAGATCCAGTGGTCAGGTTTTACCTGCCCACCCGGACTGTGCCCTGAGGTCAAACTCCTGATATTGGCTGTTCGGTACAGAGGAGCTGATGACAGGTAGGGGCTGATACAAGGGGGAAAGCTTGAACCGTATCAAAGCTAAAAGGCAGGAGATTTGGGACTCAGTGAGAGACTGTAGCTAAAAGATGGATCAGCAGGATTGCCCTCTTCTTAAAAAGCAGCTGACCTGCAAGGGAAAAGACTTTATCGTCCTGCCAATCACATGGTTGCTAATGGAAGCCAGTTATCTCAACAACAGCTTAGTCTCCCACTGTTGTACTAGGGCAATGTGTGAGATTAATGACGATTGTGCAGTAGAATATTGTGGCGCATTTTACTGAAGTCATTTACAAGGAGTCAGCTTGGAAGACTGAGAGAGAAGAGCTACCCTTGGATGGTTAGCAGAGGAGGAGGAGCAGCTTTGAAAAAAATGCCATAGATATTTTAGTCCTAACAGTTCCTGATCCTCCATCTCTCCCTGAAGACAGTGTGTGGACAGCATGTTGGGCCCAGCAAGCTAGCTTCTTTCCTTCTTCTTTCCATGGATGTAGAAGAGCAAACAGAAGGAGAAATAGTTGACATGAGAAGGAGTTGCCTCTAAGAAGAGAACAGTAGTCAGTAGCAGGAAGCTCTAAGAGGCCAGGAATCGCAGAGATGCAGGCACTTACCAATGTCCCCTTTGATAAGCCACCTCTTTCTTCTTATACTAACCTCTCTTACGCTCTTTTTGTATTTAACATGCTCCTTAGAGATCTTAGTCATCTGTAGAAACCCTAGTCAGTAAAGATTTTTGTGCCATTCCCAAAACCATGGTATCTCAGCATCTTACAGAGGTGAGTTGGTGTGGTTGGCTAATCACACATAGCGCATGCTGATGGAGAATCACATGGCCATGATCATCTAGAAACTAGCAGATGGTAAGAAAACTGGGGTAGATTCATGGTTCTGGACACCTGCAATAGCTGTGTCATTCCTCATGCTACTTGTCTTGGTGTATGACCTGAGCCAATTATCAATGTCACATGCTCCTTTGAAGATCCTGATCCCTGGCATCTCTTGAAGATGACTCGGGTCTTCTGCAACCTGCACTGCTCTCTAAAGATAATGTCTTGCTACTGTCTGCATAGAGAACCTGGGTAAATAGTGCAGTGGCCCAAAGTGAGATGGAACGAACTGTCAGGATTTTGCTACCAATTCATATCCAAGGTCAGTTGGAATTAACCTTCAAAAGTAAAGAGGTCTTAGTTTGTCCTACTTCAGTTAGTCTGTGAGGAAGCTCACTTTCTGACGTGAGTTGTTTTGTCCTCGTTACGATCTGTTCTTCAGTGCCTGAAGACTAGGGTTACAGTTCTGGAGTGTGATGAGGTTTTTTTGATGTCATGGACACTTAATTACAATTTGTGCGCTATTCTTTGGTGAGCCTGTGTAGTGTGCAGTGGACAGGAGTGACAACCTCATGGTAGCCTGAGAGTTCAACACTTGTTGCCCTAGGGCAAATTTCTGGATTCTTAACCAACTGGGTGGTAACAAATGCTTATTCTTGAAATCGAATTGCTGCCTGCAGAGTTATAACCTAAGCTGCAAATGTAGCTTGACTTTTTTCACTTTAGAAAACTTGTTTCTAGTATTTCTCTCTGCCATGAGTACTGCTTCAGTTTCAAACAGGCCTTCTTCCTCTACTGTCTCATCTCAGACAAGGACTCAGCTAGCTTAATGATTGTGGAATTTCCTTATTTTGCCAGGCATGAGGAGAACTTCGTCTCGTCTGTGTTCTTTCGGCACTTAAGTGCATGTTGTTAATATCCTCCATTTGATGTCAGTGCTGGTCCTGCAACAGAGGCAGCCGTCTCAAGTGAACTTTATCACATCCTGTTGGTAACCCCAGAGTTAAGCAACCACTGTAGCAATATCTCCACCCACTTGGTAACACAGAGTTTATGGTTTGATGGTGGTGTCCCCCAGTCTGGAAGACCAAGGGCTGTGAATGACAAGGTCCATAAATTCTGCGTAGGTATGGGAGAAAATTCTCAAAGATTTTCAGCAATTTCTGTTAACACTTTGGTAACATTAGAGATAAATTAGACATAAAGTTATAATACAGCCCATGTGATTAATATACAGAATAATATACCATGGAAACATTAGAAGATATATTTTTGTCAGTCTTTTATTTATGATATGTGTAAATAAGCATGTTTATAAGCACTTCTATGAGCTCAAATTATGTATTCATTCTAAAACTTGATACCTGATATTTAAAAGTATAATACATTTTCTTCCAATTCCAAAGTATAGTGGAAATGGCGTGGATAGTTTCTTGGGTTGCTTGCCCATTTCCTTTGTAATGCATTTTCTGGTGTATTGTGGGTGAGAAATATTACCAACCTTCTGAACTGTGTTGCTTGCAACAGATATAAGATTATTTGAAGGAGAAAATTCTTACTAGTACTTAATAGGTCTTCCTCCTTCTTGTTTGCTTCTCATTCATTACTGAGAGGCGATACTGTCCTTCTGATAAACTCAGACGTAACTCGTTGTAGATAGGAACTGTGTAATGGATCACTCGGCTTCAATCACAGCTTCGGGATTGACTGCCACTAAAGGCAGGCTGACAGCTCAGTCTTCTCCACTGTTTTGTTTGCAGTGTTTAATTTGAATTCATTTCCTGTGGTAGTGACTGCATTTCAGCTCTAGCTTGTATCTGATTCCCCTAAGATGCAGCATGCTGAAGCTCTCACCATCTGTGTTCCCTGTGGAGAATGCTCTTGAGCCCTTCAGTAGACCTCAGAGAGTAGGTTGCAGCCTGTTGCTAAACCTACGCACCATGACTCTTGGAAGCTGAGGGCTCCAAAGGTGTGCTGTGACTTCCTTCACAGGCTGCCAGCTTGCACAGTGCCTAGGCTTTGAAACTAGTAGGGTACCCCCACCCCTGGCCTCTACTCCAGAGAAGTCTTGAACTGAAGAAACGTCAAAAGTTTCAGAGAGGGAGAAATCCTTAACAGTTTGTTTAGGAGCAAGTCTTAAAAACTTCAGAGTTTAAAGATAGAAGTGAGCTTCTCTTTCATAAGGCAGCAGTTTGAATTTTTAGTTAGCAGGTAGTACAGAATATTTCGTCCTCTGCTTCTGAGGGAAATGGTTGTTGAGACTTTCGTCTTTGCAGAGGCTCTTTCACAATGCTTACTGATCCCTTTCCCCCCACCATGCACTCCCAGCTTCTCTGAACAAGCAGAGGAGCGTGGTACATCTGTAACATGAAGCCCAGCCTCAGGGTGCAATGTAATGGGATTTGTGCTTCTCTAGGTTTCAGTGCAATGCTGCTTATTCAGCTAAAGAAAGGAGCTCAGATTTCAGACAGCAACAGAACAGGAGTTGCATCTCTCTGGATTTCACACCATAGGTCCTCCTCACTTTGCTGTGGGGGGAAGGCAATACTTTTGCTGGCCTTCTCTATAAATTGACTGCACTAAAGCAGGAGGAGGGCTTGAGGCACACTGTGAGCAGAACAGGTACAAATCAAAGCTCAGTATCTCACATATTTGCATCATACAGGGGTGGCATGCATATGCATACCTGTGTTCAAAACGACACAGGTATTTGAGTGTGATTGCATGCTAAACTGTTATCTGGCTTGCAGGGGACACGCAGTGTCTTTTCAGAGCACTATATTCTTGCAAGTAAATAGGAATTCTTCACACAAACATGCCAATTTATTTGTAAGCACTTACATTCCCTAATGACACCTCTTACTTTTGATTTCTCCTTTTCAGCTAGCCTCTGTGAGGCCTGCAGCTAGTCACAGTAGGCTCAGATCACAAGTTGTATGTATAGGTATTTGGAAGATCTCAATCAGTGCTCTGTACACAGCAACAAGCCAGCTCATTACTGGGGTGGGATTTATACCTGCCAGCTGGTAAGAATTAGAAAGCTTTGGAAACAAATGCCCAGAAATTAGCAGTGGGGAGTCAAAAACAAGCATGGCTTTGGATACACTGTCTTGATAAGGATTTGCAGAATCAAAGCAGGATGGCAAGGCAGTCATTTCCTGGCAGTGATTTCCTACTCTGTTACTGCCAGAAGATAAGAGCACAACATGCCAGGTATTAGGTGTGTGTGTGACATTGAGACATTAAATCATTCATCAAATTAAGTGCAAAACAGGTTGTACCAAGCTCAACATCTGAATGCCCCTCTTTCATCAGAAAAGTGCAAATAACGTGCTGATAGTGTACCAAGTGTTCGCTCTAGATCCTGGCTTATTCACTATGAGAGGGCATAGCTGAAAATGGATTTGAAAAACTCAGTGTACAAATACTGTTACTTCACTTCAGTAGCCCTATCAATACTTTACTTAGTTAAAATTATATACATATGACCATTTAACTGCAAGATGCACTACTCCATCTATGGCCAAAAATTGTACCAGTTTCTCTAGAGGGAAGTATAGTAGATTGTACGCAAAAGACTGTGTTGAAAGGTGTAATGCTTAAACTGAATGTCATCTTCTAACTGACAGTAAAGAATGCTGTAGGTACCTAAACCATGGAAGTTATCAAAAATAAGAAAATAATTTTCTTGCTCTTTCTTTAGCTAGTTCATTTAAGCAATACAATTCACTTTCTTCTCCAGTTACCCAAACAGATAAACACTAGAATTCTCCACTGTGTATTTAGAAAATGACAGAACGCATGAAGCACTGATTCAGCTTGACATAGAGACCTGCAGATAATAGCCTTTGCATAAGAACATCAGCTTTGGTTGAACAAGGAGGGGGATTTTTGTTGTTGTTTGGTGAATTTATTGTTTTTGGAACTGAGACAGGAAATGCCAATTATTAATCTCATCACATGCAGGTGGAACACCTGACTTCGTAGAGGAGTGCAGGGGAGTTCCGACTTCTAAATACTACTATCATAGAAATTGCTAAAAGTTTCATTAGAGATCTTGATCAAAGCAGATACTAATTTAAAAAAAAAAAAAAAGGCAAAAGCTGCCGTCAAGACTATTGAGATGGACATATCTCAGTCCCTGTCTGAATACAACCAACTGTTAGTTTAATCAGCTTTCAGCCCTTCTTAGTCATCAGTACTTTCACAAGGCAAGGTTTAGAAGTAGTTAATCAATTAAATCAAAACCTACAGACGTCTTGTTATGATGAAAACCTCATATCTCTGGAAAATCCTGTTCAAGAAAGCCCAACCCATAGTTACGGAGGAAATTCCTGTAAGATCATGACCTAAATGGCACTAAAATTTTATCTTGGGTAGTTGAAGTGCATATCCCAGTTATACCATGTCCATAGTGCCAGAACCCAAAAGCTCTGGTTTCCCTGGACAAGATACTAAATTTCTTCAATAACTGGCATGCTACACATCTGGGAGACTATTGATGAAGCAGTCTGTCCTTGAGTCACTGATGTACATCCCATTCAGTGGAAGTTCTTCAGCGGAATGAAGTTTCTCTCTACTTTTCTTCTGCTACCCATTTTGATCCCCATCTGAATCTCACCTTTATCTTTGTCATGTAAGAAGTGATGGAAATGCAAGGGAGACAGATTTGGGTGCACAACTTTCCTGAAGTTTGTGAATACGTTATATCAAGCTCT